ACACCCTCCGCGGCCACGACGGCGGGGTCGGTCTGCGTCAGACTACCGTAGTACGGGATCTTGGCCTTGGTGGCATTCTGCTTCAGCTGGTCGAAGGCACCCGCACGGAAGGTATCGGCACAGACAAGGGCGGTCTTGAACCCGCGCATCTGGTAGTGGCGAGCCAATTTGGTACAGGTGGTCGTTTTACCGGCACCCTGCAGACCCACGAACATGATCACATTGGAGCGGCCCTTCTTGGGACGGAAAGGCTCGGCGTGCGGGTCCACCAAGGCTACCAGTTCATCGAAAACGGCTTTCTGGATCAGGCGCTTCTTGTTCACGGCGGGTGGCAGGGAGGCGAAGTTGACGCTGGACTTGATGGACTTCCGGAGCGACTGGACGAGGCGGACGTTGACGTCGGCAGACAGCAGAGCTGCACAGATCTCCTTGAGCATATCATCGAAGGCCTACGATCATGAAGTCAGCAGCTAAGAAGGAGTTGCACGGCAGGGCAGCCACGCACCTTCTCGTCCAGATTGTTAGACCGAGTCAGATCATTGACGGCGGCATTAATTCGCCGCCCAAGATCCTGAAGGACCATGGTGAGATGGGATATTCAATGGGAAGTGAAGTTTAGAATGTTCGTAGCAGGTTGCGCAGTTATAGTTTTTTTTTTTGAAATAACAGGAGGATGGCCAGGAACAACTGGGAAGACGACAAGGAGATATGAAGACAGCTGGAGGCAAGTTAGTTTGGATGGCGTTTTGACTCCACTGGGCCATTTGAGGCCAACGCGATGCGGAGAGCCTGCCCCGCCAATCACCGCCTCTTTGTGTCTCACCGCCCGCTGACCCTCCAAAAATTTCCCGGGAAAACGACAGAAAAGAAAGAAAACCGACCGACCGATTTTAATCCCAATCTCCACCACAGCCTCCCAAATCTTATACACACGAGAGACCGACCTTACGGTGTCAGTCCTCTCACCATGGCCCCCTACGTCAAAAAGCGCAAAGTCCTCGACTCGATCGCATCCCGTCCCCAGAAAAAGTTCCGCAAGCAGCGCGCATACCACAGCAGCTCCGAAGATGACGACGACGAACCCACCGATTTCCAAGCCGTCAGTTTGGCAGACTCCGACGTCGAGGAGGAAGTTGTGAAGCAGCCCAAGAAACAGACCCGGTCCATCGGCGAATCGACCAAGAAGGCTCTCCCCAAGAAGCAGCTGAAGAAAAAGCAAGAGGAAAGCTCCGACGAGGAAGATATGGCATCCGATTCGGATGCAGACGACTCGGAAGAAATGGAGGACGATGAGTTCGACGTGGGCGCAGAGTCTGACATTTCCAATCCCGCCTCGACGGCAGGTGGTCGGGCGGTTCCTAAGCGTCAAGATCCTACTGCGTTCTCGACCTCAATGGCCAAGATTTTGGCAACCAAGCTCCCTTCCTCGATGCGCGAGGACCCGGTGCTGTCCCGCAGCAGAGACGCCGCCCAGAAGAGTACCCAAGTGGCGGAAGAGAAGCTGGATCGCCAGGCGCGGGCTAAGATGCGGGCGGAGAAGAAGGAGGAGTTGGATCGTGGCCGTATCCGCGACGTGATGGGATTGGAGCGTGGCCAGGCTGGCCCAGTGGCCGAGGAGGAGAAGCGGTTGCGTAAGATCGCCCAGCGTGGTGTGGTCAAACTGTTCAATGCTGTCCGCGCCGCTCAGGTTCGTGGAGAGGAAGCCGCCAAGGCGGAGCGAAAGAAGGGCACAATTGGTATGGGCGAGCGCGAGAAGGCTGTGAATGAAGTTAGCAAGCAGGGATTCCTGGACCTAATCAGCGGAAAGAAGGGCAAGCCGTTGCAGATCGAGGAGGCTTGAGTGATGCTGGAAGGAAGTTAGTTGCTTTCAACGTGTGTGTATACCTGGCATATTCATGGCGTTCTTGGGGGGTGGGCTACTCTACGTTCCTATTCTTTCTACTTTGATCAACTCTTTTTCATTAAAAGTGATATGCTCTATTTACAAACTTTCGTGCCGCAAAATGTTGAATGGAGATCGGAAATACCCAATGGAAACATGTTCCCTTGCCACCTCGTGACATAACCGCCCCCGTTATAGACGCTAGACATATCGTACATCATTCTCTAGTCAAAATAACATCCATCGCGCTTATATAGAATTAGTGCTTCGGCTCGAAATCGCTTGCCTGCAGGTTCCGAGTCATGGACGGCAACCGGACCACGAGACCATCGAGCTCCTTAGTCATGATTACCTGACAGCCCAGGCGGGAGGTTTCCGTCAAACCAAAGGCCAGATCAAGCATGTCGTTCTCGTCGTCCGATGGCTCTTCCATCTTGTCAAACATGCCGGAATCTTCGACAATGACATGGCAGGTCGAGCAGGCACACGATCCGCCGCAGGCACCTATTGTGTTCCATTCCCGTCAGTCTGCTGATCAATCACATACAACATGAACATGCAATGTTATTCGAACCTTCCATCTCCAGGTCATTAGCCTGTGCAATATCCAACAAGTTATCGCCCTCAGAGACCTGGAAGTCGTACTTTGCGCCGTCCTTGTCGATGAAAGAGATGTTAATCCTGCGCGAACACTTAGCACATTGCAATGATTATTATTAAAGGTTGTAGTTTATGGGGAGAGGAGGGAGAGTGACTCACTCCTCTCCAGGCTTGGGAGGCGTGATGTGACCGTGCTGTACTCCGGCGGTGACGGAGAAGCTCCTACGCTCGGACAGCCGCTGGTTCTGGATGCGCGGGGTCACTAGGGATCGCCGGGACGACAGGGAAGCACGACCAGAGCTCATTGACCGCGAGGACTGGAGGGGGAATCGGTTGGCAAGGAACTGAGAAGAGGGAGCGCGAACAACACTCTCGCCGGCCCGAGGCAGGACATGGCGCAGGTTAAGTCCGGCTTCTCTCAGGAAGGACATGGCGAATGATTGTGTGATGAAAGGGTGGGGGTATAAGAAGAATCCGAGCAAAGATGAGGGAGTGGAGAGGGACGTCAGATAGAGATTAAAGGGAGCTGAATGAATGAATGAATTGGATTGAATTCAATAATGGCGGAGAATGGGAGGAAAAGTGGAAAAGCCCGAAAAACACCAGCGGGAAATCCGCGGCTTGTCATTCGCCGGCGTTTGCCTCTTTTGAGCTGGAGGTTCGGCTTCACTAAACTTCTTTGGAGACCGACCGACCTTGCTTTACCTTACCTTACCTTACTTTCTTTTTCTCTTCAAATCCTCTACTACTACTACTATCAAGTCACTACTAAATAACTTATACTCATCCACCACACCCTTTTCCTCTTCTCTCTCTTCCCCATCCATCTTCTAGCTTCTCCTTTCCCCTATCATGTCCTCTCCTCTGGAAGGGCCCAATCCCCTCCGCCCCTATTATTTCCCCCCATCTTTGGGGTTGGACACCGGTCATGCTGCTTCCCCTCCAGATGCGTCATCCTCGGCCACCCAGGTCTTTGGCGGTTCCGCACGCGATCTGCTGCCCGATATTGATTATTCCGACTACCTCGAAAGCTCTCCCTCAGTCTCCAGCTGGATTCGCGATGCTCTGGACCAAGCCCTCTGGCGCTACACCAGTGTCCTGACCTCACAGCCTTTCGATGTCGCCAAAACCATCCTGCAGGCATATGTCGCGCCCGGCGATGCGACAGACGGCCAATGGGCTATGCATGATCGCCGAGCATCGGGTGCCGGAAGCCATATTGATTCCTACGATGAAGACGTATGTTTCAGCAGCTCTTTCCAAGAATCGGAAGAAGCTCACCTTCAGGCTCTAGGACTCCTTGTCGTCGGATGACGAAAGCAGTTATTTTACTTCCGCAGCACCTGCCGCAGCCTCCCCCTCAGCTCCCCGATCCCGCAAGCCTCACCGCCGCCATATCACCGATCGAAGCGGTTACATTCCCTCCACGACCTCATCGAGACATGCCCTCACCATTAAGAACCCAAGCTCCCTCATGGATGTCTTGTCGCAACTCTGGACCACCAGTGGCCCGACCTCGCCCTGGAAGGCGACCAATGCCACCTTCATCTACTCCCTTCTCCTGCCCACCCTAAATACATTTATCCGCAGCTTGCTCTCTGCGATTGTCGGCTTGCCGGAGGAGGATGTGACTTCTTCAATGACAGCCGACATCCTGACGTCGACTTCCCCGATGGCGACCCTACTCTTGTCCTTCATCTCCTCCTCATTGTCGGCAATGCTCCTCTCCCCGATTGATACCGCGCGAACATTCCTTATCTTAACCCCAGCTACGCATGGCCCGCGCTCCCTGCTACGAGCTATCCGCCAAATCCCGACTCCCAACTGCACCATTCCGTCCCACCTGGTGCCCATCACCGTCCTCCACTCCAGTCTGCCCAACTTCATCACCAACACGACTCCATTAATTCTCAAATCGTATCTGTCTCTCGATCCCGTGCTCAATCCGTCCATCTGGAGCCTGTTCACCTTCCTGAGCTCCGGTCTAGAATTGGCGGTCCGGTTCCCGCTCGAGACTGTACTGCGCCGCGCCCAAATCGCGACGTTCACTTCCCCCAGCATCCGCCAGCAGTCAAGGCGTTCAGTACGTGCTGAAACCTCCGCGAATGAGGAAGAGGCCTCGGAGATCGAAACGATCGTCCCAACCCCCCAGACCTACCGGGGTATTGTGGGTACTATGTGGGGGATTGTGTACGAGGAAGGAGTGCAAGTCACACCGGAAGTTGAGCGGGCGCGCCAGCTGCTGAAGAAGCCCGTCACTCAGCGCAAACGTCAGGGCCAGGGAATCCAAGGTCTCTACCGAGGCTGGCGCATCGGCATGTGGGGAATCGCTGGTATCTGGGGCGCCAACCTACTCGGCACGGTCGGCGTGGCCGGCGACGACGATGCCAGGATGAGCGGAGGTCGGTTTTAAACCAGCTGCAGAGCCATATTAGCATCGTCGGATGCAAAGAGCAGAGCCAAAGCCCTCCAAGCCCGTGCCCCTGCCAACTCGGCTGATAATCCCACACAATTAGTCGAGACCCCTCAGAATACCGCATGACATGAGGACGACGAAGCGGATTTTCAATATTCCAGCTAAGCCAAGCTAGCCAACCTCTCCACAAGCTCCCAACAACTTCATCATGATACGATTTCTTTTGGGTGAAGCAAAAGAAGCCAACGACCCCCCGCACCCTCCGCACCCCACATCATCGCTCATGCACACGGCGACGATCTGTAAAAACACCTTAACGACGTTTCTTTTCTCCCTGCACACACCATCTTTTACCACTTGTTTTCTATACCATCTCAACTTCCCCTTACCCTTCTTCCTACTATCCTTCCCTCCGCTCCTTCATCTACCAGTGGAACGATGTCTTGTGTACTTTCTAATATCAGTATACTATATAACGCCGCTACGGAATGTACTTTTATCTCTCCATCAACATGTTTCTCGGATCGGGCTTCCTTTCTATCAACTTGTCTCCTATTTTCAATGTAGCTGAATGAACTCGGAGTAAGGGCGGACGGCGTTGGGCTTTTCAAGGGGGGCGGTGGTGATCTAGTATAGATATAGGCAAGCAAGGCACCTGCCAGATTTACATGATGAACCCCTGGGCAATTGCCCAAAATCATAAAATTCTAGGCTTGAATTGTGACACGTTGCACCTGGGCCCGCTTTTGCTCGATCAGTTCAAAAAGACATTCATTGTCGTTTGACATGTATCTCAAGAACGGGCTTTCCAGGTCATACACACATTACGTTGGGAAAATGAATACCGAAGTAGATAACAACACAAAATGCCAGTTCATTTCATTTCAAACCATCTAGACTCATTAGACGCTTTGGCTTGGCCCACGCGTTGGAAATCACCGCTGGGGTGAGTGGAGGTTTTTGATTTGGATTTTTTTTTTGTTTTTGGGCGAGGTTCGTGATAGAATCATAGCCTAGCATAACATAACATAGCATAGCGTAGCATTGTATAGCACATCGTAAATATCCAGGGTTTATGGTTGCAGGTAGATTGACTTTTTGCTTTTGAGATCGGAGTTTATGTCCAGTCATGGGGTGTGGAGGGGACTGGAAAGAGGGATGGGAAGGATGAAGGGGGTCGTTTTGTCAGGAAGAGGAGGTAAAGTGTACCCGTTGATAAGAGGTGAAGAGTCATGGGTTGAATGAGTTACATTAAAATTGTAGACTGGCGGGGATGACGTAGGAGGTGACAGGGAAGGGAGACACCAGGGGGAGAGATTCGTTAGGGAGGAGGATGGAGGGAGGAGACAGAGGTAAGAGGTTCGGGAGTGTATAGTCTTGTATAATACAAACTCAAACATTCATGAATCGGGTGTTGGGTATCACTGAGAATAAAAAGACAAGTGCAGATAAGTGAAGAAAGAAGGGTTCGTCCGCCATCTATTTATCGGCGAACCGTCGATCAAAGTATCGCAAGACGCCCATGACGCTGGCAGCCTCGACTTCGAGGGCCGCTCGGGAGCCGGGCGGAGCTACCTCCTGGGGTTTGGGGAGGGTGTGGAGTTTAGGGAGCCAGGCGGAGATATCGTCACTTGCTCGAGAGAAATTAGGATGCCGGGAGAGGGTGGTAAAGGCATCAGCACAGGAGAGGGTTAAGGAGGGCGTGTTGGAGCGACGCGAACTGGCAGTGGGTTGGGGAGGGTTGCCCCCGCGAGACATGCAGCACCCGCCATCGGCGCCCTTACCGCCGCAGCAACCGGAGGAGGCAGCGCTGGCGGAGCGGGAGGCCGCCAGCGTCTTGCAAAAAAGGGTCCGGCGTGGATCGGACTGACATTGCGCGCATGTTCCCGGCCCATTGGCACACGGATTTGTGGCCTGACTGATTGGGGGTAGCGTGACGTCGGACCGAACGTCGCCTTCCGATGGGGGTGGTGTGAATTGAGATAGGTTCTGAATGGGCGCCAGCCGATTGTTCTCAAAAGAGTTCCTTCGACGCTCTTCCTCCTGGGCCGCCATCTCGGCGCAAATACAGGGTGTTCCATCCTGGCAGAACCCGCAGGGGTCTACAGCTGGCGATGAGACGGAGGTGCTATGGTCGTCTTGAATAGTATGCGGTGCGGCGAACCGCGTGGTGAAGTCGATCTCCATCTCCTCAGGCTCCGGTTTGATCTCGGGTTCGGGTCGTGTGAGACTAGGACTGCCAGGCCGCTTGCCCAGCGAAGACCGAGTCTCAACTCCCGGAATGGCAAAAGCATCCTCAATACACTGACAGTGGACAGAGGAGCAATCCCCGCAGCCCAACGGAACCTCCTCCCGTGGTTCTTCAACCACGGCGGTAGACCTGCCGGTCGGCAACCCGCGATCACTGGCCGCTCGGTCTTCGGTCGGGTTTCTCGCAGCGATTCGGGTCAGAGGAGCCTTGTCGGAGCTCTTGTCGGTAAGAGTTGTCCGGAACTCTCGCACCAGAGTCTCCTTCGCACTCCGTTCGACAGAAACCTCCTTCTCCAAGGCATGGCATCGGTCGCGCCACCAAGCCATCTCACTTCGACATTGTTCGACATCGCTGGACAGGCTTGCAATCTGGTCCTTGAAGGCAGCGATATGAATCTCGTGCTCATCTTCGATTTTCTTGATCTGATCCTCGAGCTCGTTGACGCGGGCGGCTCGACGTTCGCGGAACGCTCTCTGAGCGGCTCGATTCTGGGCCTTGCGTTTGGTGGGTGGAGTGTCGGTGGCCGGCTTGCGACCAGGTTTGGGGCGAGGAGGAATCACCCATTCCTTGGAGGTGACGGAGCCGGGTGTGCCCGGACCAGGAGACGGTGAGATAGCTGGCTTGGCAGCCAGTGCGGGAGCCAGCGGCGCTGGACCCGGACCAGGGGCTATCGTGAGAGCAGTCGGACTGGCCATGGTAAAGAAAAATCCTCTATCGATTTAGAGGAAGTCTGTAGTATGATCAGTGGACATGTCATGGGTGAAGATGGAGATGGAGATGGAGAAGGGTGGTTCAGTAACTGGTGAGGAGATGTTCGGAGAAGAAAGGTAAGAAAGGCGGGCTAACCGGCAGAAGGAAAGGCGGTGATGGTGGTGGTGGTGTCACTGGATCGCTTCGGCCGGAAGAGCGGAAGTGCGCCCCTTCAGCCGGTAAGCGAGACAACGGAATTGCTGGCTGCAAACCAATTGATTCGAGAGGAAGGGACAGCAATTGACCCTGTATAGATAGGTTGACAGCAGAGTGAGTAGGGCAGGGAAGGAGTGGAAGGAAAATCGAAGCAAGTAGGCTTAGGATTGAGGAGAAGGCGAAGGAGGAGGAGGAGGAGGAGGAGGAGGAGGAGGACGGACAGACACCAAAAGCGACCGAGGAAGAAGGAAAGCTGAGAAGAAATGGAGGAAGGGAAAAGGAAAGAAGGAGGGGGGAAACAGAGAGGGAAAAATGAATGATCGGATCAGATTAGATTATCGTGCGCTTTCACCGACTTCGGAGTTCCAGTGGCTCCCCCACTCGTTGCCCGCCCTCATTCGTCCGTCCCGTGGTAGACTGCGGGTTATCAATCAATAATTCCCTGCCGGTTCGAACTTGGGGTTTAGGGTATGCTCCGGTGCTCCATCCAGCTCGTATGCTGGGCCTAGCATCGAGTTCTTCTCAGTAGGGCTGGTGAAGAAACACCCTTGATTTTATCATTGTCCCATCACGATTGGTAGAAGCATCACCTAAGAACTTATAGACAAGTCATGTCCTTCTACTCTGTCTACCACGAGCAGTTCCATTCTCAGATGGAGAAGCTACTGTGTTCTGTATAGTATGCTTCAGTGAAAAAAAGTCATGACTTCCATGACTCGTTCATCACCCATGGTGAAGAAGAAATTTTGCTCCTCTTCCCAAGACCACCCGTGTGGGTACATGAGTCCTTTTTTCCCCCTTGTTGACGATCCTGTTGGTCAATGGATTCTGCTAGAGTTTTATCCGCGATGAGCGCGGACATCCGGTGATGGAGAAGGCGACAATCCCTCTTCCTTGCCAAGCGTTTTAGCATATGGCAAGGGGCAAAACCAAACTCCATGCTCGCCATTTGGTGCACGAGGTCTGACACATAAGAACGCTGAACTTCGGCGGAGGATCCGAGCTTGGGCCGGAAACCGTTCGGGCTAGGTTACTGCATCCATAAAGTGCGGATTGATTAGCCGGAGGGAAAATGGGGACTGGTGAGGATACTGTTAGTAATGAAGCTCGCAAGGTCACCCTTGGAACGTGCAGTGCAAAAGTGCAAAAGTGCAAGGAGTCGAGGGTGCAAACGGCCTCGGCAGGAGTTTTCCCTCCGTCGCCTGATCTTATCTGATCCCACTTTTCCCGTTTCGGGAATCCCAGCCAATTCCCGGTGTGTGAAATGTGTCATAGACTCGTAATACACCAACCAGAACCGTCAATGATCAGTCTTGAGAACTCCTTCTCTTAACCTGGTTCAGCTTAGCTCAAATGGAGAGGGATGGTTGAGAACTTGAGACAACTTGAAAGAGAGGGGAAGAGGGTCGGGAGAAAAATTCTTCTTATCAATCAAAGCCCTTGCATGCGTCTCCAGTCCTCCCCGAGTCCACTTCGACCTCAAATGCCGAAGAACGGAAGGACGAGGGCGAAAACGGGCCGATCTGGCTCGGCTTCCTTTGGGCTTGTCGTCAGAAGTCTCGAGAAGCCAGTTCAGCGCGGCCGTGTGCAGGAGGTTGGACACATCTTTATATCCATGTGTAGAATATGTGCACACGTGTTGAGAAAGCCCCCTCCGAAAAATTAGGAGCCAGTAACTTACTCTCGTTAGCGGCGTTCAGACGTAGCAAGTCAAGCTCTCAATGCAGTCATGCCTCCCAGCAAGCAAGACTGGTTAGTGACTCACGAAAATCCCCCGATGCTCGCCTCGCTCGACCCTCTCGATTCCCGTCCTTTATCCGAAATTTCTCCTTCTTTAGGCAGATCGTCGTATGCATGCGGATTAGATTTCATTTGCACATTACAGTATACAGTCTGGAGTCATACACCATCATCCTTGATACAATAAACATGAAAGCTGTCAATATACGTCCGTGAAACCCCAAGCATATCACAAATCAACCAGAGCAGGCGCTCCTTCGGCTGGGGGGAATGAATGCTTGGTTGCGACAAACACCTTCTGGATGCCTCCCTCGCGGCTATTGAATAGCTCGTACAATCTAGACATGTCTTCTAGACGTACTCGATGCGTGACCATGTCCAAGGGGTTGATCTCTCCCTTGCGGATGAGCTCCAGAAGATGCTTCCAGTAGCGGTGCACGGGAGCTTGACCGTTGCCGATCAAGCGGATGCCAGTCTGCATCAGAGCACCAATATTGAAGTGGTTGGTCTAAATTATGGTCCATCAATCAGCAACGCGCCGCTGTCACGTTAGTCGTGTGGCGACACTTACAAAGCCAGTGTAGATCCCGGTAACGCCAACCCGTCCAAATGGCCGGACGGAGGTAATCATCTCGTTCAACATCTCCGAGGTATCAGTCTCCAATCCCAGGAGAACCTCGAAGTAGTGCGCCCATCCCTTTGCGAACTCTCCCGATGCACATTCCAACGCCACATCCGGTCCACCGGGGACCACCTTCTTCAACTGGGAGGTGATGGATTCACCACGCGGCAGCTTGGTGAAATCGATCGTTTCCACCTTGGGCAACTTACTCTTGACAAAGTCCAAGCGCCACGCTGCGTCGCCACCGTCAATGAGGATCACTCGACTGGCGCCCTGCATAAAACTGAAGCTGGCCACCATTTGGCCAATCGGCCCTGCACCCCAAATGGCAACCACATCGCCCTTGTCGACTCCGGTGTCAACCACACAGTGATACGATGTGGCAAGGACGTCGGAGAGATACAGACCCTTCTCATCAGGGACATCATCGGGAAGTGCCAGCAGGTTCTGATCGCCATATGGCACACGGACATATTCAGCTTGGCCTCCAGCGAAGCCACCCGTGAAATGGCTGTAGCCGAACATACCTGCACAGAGTCTGGTTAACAAGCTGTCCTTTAAAACGCTGAGAAATCGATGTCCTTGTCTGGAAGACTTGCCTGCAGTGCGCTTCCCATACATGGCATTAGTGATGGTGTTTTCGTTGGTCCGTTCACAGGCCGAAGTCAGCTCTTTCTTGCAGTTCGTGCATTGGCCGCAGGCGATAGGGAAAGATGCCACCACCCTATCTCCGACCTTGACATTCTTTGCTCCGGGTCCGACGCTGTCCACAACGCCGCAGAATTCGTGTCCCAGCACATCACCTTTTTCGAGTTGAGGAACAACACCTGTGATACACCGAGTCAGAACTACTTTGCAGTCTAATTGCTTGGCATAGCAAGCTCGGACTGTGGTATACCATGATAAAGGTGGAGATCGCTTCCGCAGATCGTGCTACCGGTGATCTTCACAATCACGTCCCCTTCATCGATAACTCTTGGCTTGGGCATTTCCACCACCTCGACGGTGTTTTTGCCCTGCCAGATGGTGGCCTTGATCTTCTCTCCGGTCTCTTCCCCACTCTCTCCCTTGGCATAATTGCTCACATCCGTGGTGACGGTGGCATTGTCACCGTGTCCGACCAGCTTCTCGACCAAATTAGCAGCCTGAGTTGTTGCTGCCATTGTTGTGGATCAATGATATGTAGTCTGTAAATTTGAGTAGTGCAGAGAATCATGAAATCTTCTCATGGTACGACTTCCTGCGAGGGTTGATAGATAATATATCAATGGTCAAGTCAAGTTCGCCGCCTGCGGCTGACATCACAGTGAGGTCGTTTGTTTCATTCTCGTATGAACCCGGTTCCACGGGATTAATTCCAATGAGTATAGTATGCTATCTCTCTCACCTGGCTCTTAGTGGTTAGACTTGCAGCTTTGAACAGCTAGGTATAGTAAGAGTCCTGCAGTCACTGGGCGAACTGAATGGGTGATCCGTATGAGAATACGAATCCCCATCATCGGTTCAGCTGTTGGAAAAGGAACTGCCATGACGTCATTTATCACCAGCTTCCCCCGCACAACTTGACTTGGTTCCATCAAGGACGACACTGATGACAAATCTTGCATTGTCCCAATTGAAAACAGTTGCACAAAATAAACTTATGTTGATCGTTGCTGGTGGAGGTTATTATTGACGCATACATACACCGACACACAACAAGACAATGGAAAGGCGGTTGTTCTCACCCTTAGGCAACAGGCTTTGCCCCCCACTATTGAAAACAGCCTCGGATCAACTTCCCCCGACTCTTGGCTTTCGCATAAGAAAAACACAGTATCTCTACGATAGAAACTGCCGGCCGCCAGATCGTGCTGTCTATCTAGATTCATGAAGTTGGAACTGTACACGTGAGTCGGGTGTTGGCTTCACTCTTGAGGAGATACATCAAACACTACCACCGCCACCATGGGACGATTCGGGAATTTCCTGGATCGCGTTCACCAACATGTCAAAGAGAAGTATGGATCCCCGCCTGCTTCTCCTCAACCTTACAGCCCGCCTTCGAACCAGCCAGATGGTCCCTGGCCGACACAAGAGACGGCTCCTGCTTTCCCTCCAGGTTGGTTGATTGAATTCCTGCGGGCGGATGGCCTCTCGCTTACGGAAATGCCGTCTTGCTGATTAGTGACTCAATTCCATTGCCACTAGGAGCAAGCCCTGCGGTCGCCAGAGCTGGACCACAGACAGTGTTTGCGCATTTTATCGTAAGGGAAATCATTGTGGATAACGACTAGTACAGTACTCAGCTAACTGCACTCTAGGTGGGATGCGCGGCTGCCATGACCCCCGAACAATGGGAGTCGGATATCATCGAGGCCCAAAAGTGCCATATTGATGGCTTCGCGCTCAACATCGCCCCCCAGGATAGTTACACCGAGCGTGTCCTGGAAAATGCGTACAGCGCGGCGGAAAGAGTCGGGAATTTTACCCTATTCCTCTCCTTCGACTATGGTTCGGGGGGCCCATGGCCGGTGGACCGTGTCATTCACTACATCAACACCTTCTCACACCGCAGCCCCCAGTATTTCTATGAAGGAAGGCCCTTGGTTTCTACCTTCATCGGCGTCTCAAGCGCCGGAGACTGGGTCGACATCAAGCGCGCCACGAATTGTTTCTTCGTACCTAGCTGGCCCGACTGCGGCCCTGCCGCCATCGCCAACTACCTCGACATTGTGGATGGTGCTTTCAGTTGGGACGCATGGCCCGTAGGCGCTGAACAGAAGAACACCGCCAACGATGAACACTGGATGCAGTCCTTGGCTGGTCGACCGTACATGATGCCCGTTTCACCTTGGTTCTACACGAACTTGCCCCAATGGGACAAGAATTGGCTGTGGCGCGGCGATGATCTCTGGCACTATCGGTGGGAGCAGGTGATGAGATTGCAGCCGGCTTGGGTTCAGGTATGGGGCTTTTTCTAAACCCTCATTCTTCGACAACTAACCTCGTTGATCGCAGATCATTAGCTGGAACGACTACGGCGAAGCACACTATATCGGACCCATCCACGAGGCCGGGGTACCTGATGGAGCCGGTCGCTATTGTTTTGGACACCCTCATGACGCATGGCGGGCACTTTTGCCCCATTACATTGACGCTTACCGGAACGGCGGCGTGGTGGATCCCAACCAGCCCCGACCTCACTTGTCCTTTGCGGATAAGATTGTGTACTGGTATCGCACGAACCCCAGTCATGCTGGCAGTACCAATGGGACTACCGGCAATAACCCGGGGGTGGGCCAAGAGGCATTGCACCCGGGCGAGGTATCACAGGATCGGGTGTTTGTCAGCGTGATTGTGGGGAGCCCGAGCGAAATTCATATTCAGATTGGGGATGGAACGCTCAATATCGTACAAGTCTTGGGGGCGGGCGTTCATCACTGCTCGGTTCCATTCGATGGAGAAACAGGACCCGTGCAGATCATGATTGTGCGCAACGAGCAGGTGATGGCATCGGCAACTGGACCGGCCATTACAGAGGAATGTCAGGATGGCAATGTGAACTGGAATTGTTATGTAGGCTCAAGCGACTAGATGGGGTTGATAACTATGGCGACATCATGGATCGGATCGCTTATCGTGAGAGGCCGTTTCCGGATAAGGATAGCTGATTAGAGCGGATGATGACTGTAAATTGATGGTAAATACAGAATGATAGATGGACAATATCCATGATGCCTAGAGCTGTACTCTGTAGTCGCATTGTACTCCGTAAAGCTGACTGGAATAGAGAAGGTGACGGAAGATACAAGGATGGGATGCAAGAGGAGAGAAGGGACAGCCGAGGGGCGATCACCACATACATCTCCAACTGACTTCCCCAGCTGACTGACTGACTGATCCACCGGAGCTCCGCCTTTCGCTCCGTGTCTCCAAGCCTCTCCTTACGCTCCTCAACTTTCCACCTACCCCCAACTCTCCTCCCCCCCAAATCTTCAATTATTCTTTCTCTATCCTCTCCTTCCAACATCTCTACCTATCCTCTACATCCCAAATCACACTTTCAAACCGTATCCACCCTCTCCACTGCACAATGGCCAAGAAGAGCTTCATTGAGCTTCGAGAAGCCGCCCTGGCTCATCGTCCAGCCTCCCAGACCGGCCCGCTCCCCGACCATGTCTATCCCACGCAAGCAACCACGGTATCACCTCCTTCCACCGCCTCCTTCGATCCGAGTGCATACTCCCAGCCGTATTGTGATTTTATGATCGCCAACCCGACCATCTTCCACGCCGTCGACGCCTTCACCGCCCAGCTCGAAAGCAGAGGGTACAAGCGCCTGCATGAGCGCGAATCCTGGACGAACAAGCTCGTGCGTGGTGGGAAATACTACTGCACGCGGAACTCCAGCGCCTTCATCGCCTTCTCCGTCGGCAAGGAGTACAAGAGCGGCAATGGCGTGGCGATCGTGGCCGGACACATCGACGCCCTCACCGCCAAATTGAAGCCGGTGTCGAAGCTGCCCACGAAGGCCGGGTTCGTGCAGCTCGGCGTGGCGCCGTACGCCGGGGCCCTGAATGAGACCTGGTGGGATCGGGACCTCTCGATCGGCGGGCGAGTGCTCGTGCGCGACCCCAGCAGCGGGAAGATCGAGTCCAAGCTGGTCAAGCTCGACTGGCCCATTGCGCGCGTCCCCACCCTGGCGCCGCACTTCGGCGCCCCCAGCCAGGGCCCCTTCAACAAGGAGACCCAGATGGTGCCCATCATCGGCGTCGACAACTCAGACCTCTTCTCCACGTCCGCCAACACCCCGTCCGCCTTCCAGCCCGGCAGCTTCGCCGCGACGCAGCCCGAGAAACTCGTCCGGGTCATCTCGCGCGAGCTCCAGATCCACGACCCCAACACGATCGTCTCGTGGGAACTGGAGCTCTACGACAGCCAGCCAGCCCAGCTGGGGGGCCTGGAGAAGGACCTGATCTTCGCGGGCCGCATCGACGACAAGCTCTGCTGCTACGCGGCGCAGGAGGCGCTCCTGGCCTCGCCGGACTCCACCTCGCCGGCCTCGATCAAGATGGTCGGCATGTTCGACGACGAGGAGATCGGCAGTCTGCTGCGCCAGGGCGCGCGCTCCAACTTCATGTCCAGTATCCTCGAGCGCATCACCGAGGCCTTCGCCGACCCGGCCGCCGCCGCCTACGGCCCCAACCTCCTCTCGCAGACCGTCGCCAACAGCTTCCTCGTCTCCTCGGACGTCATCCACGCCGTCAACCCCAACTTCCTCAACGTCTACCTGGAGAACCACGCCCCGCGCCTCAACGTCGGCGTCGCTGTCTCCGCCGACTCCAACGGCCACATGACCACCGACAGCGTCAGCCACGGCTTCATGAAGCGCGTCGCCGACAAGTGCGGCGCCACCCTCCAGGTCTTCCAGATCCGCAACGACTCCCGCAGCGGCGGCACCATCGGCCCCATGACCAGTGCCCGCATCGGCATGCGCGCCATCGACATGGGCATCCCTCAGCTCAGCATGCACAGCATCCGTGCCACCACCGGTAGTCTGGATCCCGGTCTGGGTGTCAAGCTGTTCAAGGGCTTCTTCGATCACTTCGAGGAGGTGGATGCGGAGTTTGCGGCCTTCTAGAGCATAGCACCCGAAGTCTGAAGGAATATTCGGGTCGGAGATTTATCAGGTTGGTCTGGTTCGGGGAAGTAGAATCTGGTACAGTTTTTGTCTAGACTATATATTTCAGTTAGAGAGAGGCGAGAAGATGTAGCAGGGTCGCATTGCATACATGACTATGATATGAAGGCTAGAAATATACTCCATACTCTCTACACTTTCATGCGGTTGTGAGTAGAGTGATACAGACCAGACCCCTCCCCCGGTTGGGATACTCAATACGTGATCTTGATATATCCCCGAATTCTCGCGGGCGTGCAATAGGCTCAGGTTTTCATCTGAACCCAGTGATTTGGCCACACGAGTTATGATTCACCATAGATCATATTTTACTCCCCATTCTACCAAAATTATTCATATCCATTCCATCACTGCCTCAATCATGCCAAAGACATATCAAGTAAAAGGTATATATGAAAAGAAGATAATAAAAAGAAAAACCAAAAAAGTGCTACTTAGCAGAGAAATAAATGAACGAGACCACAGCCATAGCAAAAAGAAGGTCAATGGAGTCTGTGGTGATAGAGAATTAGAAAAGGAGAGAAGTGGGTATAGCGTTTCCTGGATGTATATACTGAAGTGGAACTAATAGCCGACCGTTGCTCTTCCCCCGCCCCGTAGGGGTTGTCCCACCTTTTTTACCGTCACGATTAGCGACAGCATCAACACAATTACCACAATCCAATCTGTTGGTTATCCGAGAAGATTCCCGGCTCCGCGGGGCGGCGACGAGGAGGACGAACTGTCTCCTCGCTGCTCCTCGCGGGCCAACGCTTCCTTCAAGTCCCCCGCTCCTCCTCCTCCGGCGGGGTGATGGGTCTCGCGGACCATGAGCTTGCCCTGGCCGTTGACGTCGTTGCCGGGCACCAAGGTGAGGTAGCGGTCGGCGTCGCCGGCGCAGTGGGCGTACTCGAGGTCGTCGAGGTGGGTGGTGATGGTCGTGGTGACGGTGGCGCCGGTGCCGTTCCAGTAGGTGGGCGCCTGGGCGCCGGACAGGGGCGACGTGCCGTAGGCTTGACGGCCGCCGCTGAGGGTCGAGAGGAGATGCGGCAGGATGCGCGAGACCAGCGGGCGGAGCGTCGGGAGGCAGGCGCAGATGATTCCGGTGTTGCATTCGATGGCGGACCAGGAGGCGGCGCCGACGTTGTCGTCTGTTGTTTTCACGGTCTTCGATTAGGCCTGGTTGATTCTTTGCGGGGGAAGGGGGAAACAGGGTGATCTGACTTACAGGTGGGGTCAGAGGAGTCGGCGATCTTCTTGAGGGCAACTAGGCGGCAGATGCTGGTGACACACACACTGAAGAGATTGTGGTTGTTAGCGTGCTCAAAGGATACGGCAAGGGGTCTCCGGTGACAGCTGACTCACAATCCGCCTATTGCGAAGATTGATATCAGCGCAATCTTCTGTTTTTTCGGTAGCTCCAGTGCCATCAGCGCTGGGATCGGGATGATGAGGATGACCAGGTCGGTGGTGATATGCATCGATGCATTGGAGAACCACAGGCCCTCCGAGCTCAGACAGAACCCCGGGATCGATGGGTCCCAGAACTTGGCCACGGGGACGCAATTGAGGAAAGCACTCAAAACAGCCCAGGTCCCGTACGTAGCCAACACGGCAATCATGAGCCAGCAGATGCGTCGCATCCGTCTGGTTGGAAAGACACGGAAGTACTGCATCAGAATCGAGGCCTTGGCGCAAAGCAAGGCGGCGTTGTAGAAGGGGATGGTAAGCCAGAAGGCCTAGGATTCATGATGCCGAAGGGTTAGTGCCACTGATTGATCGTTTAGGGAGCATGTTGCACATACCTTCATCTGCTTCTCGAGAATGAGAGGCGGGATGTCTACTTGACGCATTCCCATCCCATTTAGAGCCTCCACGATGAACAACGCCATGAAGACAAATGATAAGACCTGAACAAGCGTCAGTCAAGTGTACTGGGACATGGGCAACGACTCCAACAGGGTCAGTACCAAGGCGATCAAGATCATCCAATCGTTGGGTTCCATGCGATTCATCAAGGTTTTTCGAGTATAAATGCGAGCGCTGACAAAGAGGGTTGCCAGCGTGGTGAAAACAACACTGACAGACAGCGCTTGAGCTCCTCGAGAGGACAAGTACGATCCATTTGCTGTATCCTCAGAGCGGCTGACATGAAAGAGGTAGGATTCCGTCATTATTGCGTGCAGGACTGCCGTCCCATCAATGTGTCAGTGCCGTGTTTTCCCACGATCGACGATGGGTAGCTCAATGATATGGCGGCCTCCGTGATGCTAGCCGGGGAGGTTCATACATATAAACCCTGGGGTCTAGGTGACCCCGATAAGCAACCGAGCAGTGTGTGGCATCTCACAAAGAGGGGGATTACTCACAGGGGAAGGAGGAGAGGGTAGATTTATAAACATTGTGGTCCTGCAGACCCCATTAACGGTCTGAAGGTCGAGATGCAACACAGACCAACGCCATCATACCCGTGTAGATCTTCGCTCTTGTCTCAATCCTTCTCCGGATCTGCGGGCAGACGCTAAGACATCATGGGAGTCGCAGAGAAGGAGAAGGCAGAAAAAGCAAGCAAGGGAGAGGGCAATCAAGCAAAAGATGGAGAACAGCCACACTAGACTTTTAGTTCGATAGATAGTTGTCGGTGGAGAGGCCCTTGATTTCCCATCAGCTCTCCTTTGGTGTTGGAAGCGGAATATTTGTTTGCCTTTCTGTGTGATATCGACCATTTTGGCTGCAACGCAGACTGCACTTAGGGCCGACGCACAGCAGAGGACCAAGCGACCAGTTCCAGCCTTCTGGTGTCACTAATGATGACAGTATCCACAGTCTATGGATGCCAAATCCCCCGAGCCAGTCAAGTAAGACGAAAAGTGGAGCTGCGCGATAGATCGACGAGTTATTCCAAGACTCTTCGCCTCCCTTTGGTTGGGCGCAGATGAGGATTGGACTATGCATATGGTTTGATGTTTGCATATCTCATACGTACACAACGTATGGAACACAGTACTTTTCTTCGCCTCCGACAGTACAGTACCTGTGCCCCAAAGTCTGAAGAGAGATCTTTGATACAATGCGTACCCTCAGTGTACCCAGGAAATCTGGAGGGATGGCAGATGCAGGCAGATCGTGGGTCCTGGATGGGTGTTTTACTCTCTTGACACTGGAGCGGAGCTGTCAATCCCCTTTCCCCCCGGCGCAGAGCCCAGGAGGGCTGCAGCAGGGATTATCTCCGGTCACCTTCTCGATGTCCAACACTTTCCCCTGGGGTTGGCATCTCCATCTCTCCACCCTAGCAAGGGCACTTCTAGCTTCTGTCATACAAGGCAGGGACTAGACATTCGCTCAACATGAGTGCCAGAGAGCAAGGGATACGAGTGACCCGCGAGGTTCAGTTGGAAAGGGAGAGAGGGGAAAGTGGAGCAATCCCATAATCCCAGTCTCTATAAGACTGAGGTACTCCGTACGTATTGTGAAATACTTTGACACTCCCTTTCTTGGTCGTGGCGATCTGTCATTTACCTCTTCTCTGGGTCTGCACGGAGATGAGCCACATGAAATAACGGACCTGCAGGGGAGGGGGGTGGAGAGGGGGAGAATGGGGGAACAAAGTACCGAGCAATGGGTCTTCGTGTAGCCGTGCAGTACGGAGTACAGTGCGACCCGTGAGTTGACATGAAAAACAATGCAGGTCGAGAAATTGCGGTTGCTTGATTAATTGCATCGATTAATTGTGGTCATTGGCTCGAAACGCCGAAGGTAAATAAAGAAGTGATAGATCACATCCGCTAATGCGCCTAAGCCTTCGAACAGGAAAAGAACCAACCAGCGCCAATACTACCAGTCGCTATTAGATGATTTTGGTTGACTCACTCCTTTTGTCGCATTGTTGGGCTTCAAAACTTGTTGATTGTTGGAGAGACAGGCCAATTGGCCACAATGATGCTTGTTTAAGGGAAACAAGCATGTTGTTTGGCACATGCAGTGACTATCACAGCCGTGACTGCAGCCATAGTCTCACTTCAGGCCGCATCAATTGGCTGATCGGTGCCTCCTCCTGGATTGGCCAGACAGGTGATCTTAGCCGACATAGAACGCCACGTCTGTCGGTATTGAAAGATTCAAACTCTGTCCGTCGATAGTATAATTCAATGGACTATCAAGGCCCCTGGGTAGGCGATACGACGAGCTCTAAGCGCATCCAAGTGCTCAACAGGCAATGGCGACGCCTAGGGTTTCGGCTGGCTCCCAGTTTCGACAACTACACCAAATAACTACTCCTTCCATTGGCAGGGCTCATTCTACTTTGTACTTCGATGATTCATGTCCGAATCGACGAGAAGCAGCACTAGGCAGTGTATCGCCATGAGGTGAGACCGTGCCGGGGGATGTGCCAATGTCGCGCCCTGGGTTTGGAAGGAATCGGCATGAACCAGGCATGCTGAGGTGAAACCAAGGCCGACACGTGAAGGCTCCATTGCCATGTGATAAGGTCGTGCTGGTCGACTTTTCGCGAGATCGCAATCAAGCCCAGCCCAGCAGTCCAGCCTCTCGCAATGAGGACCAGAAGATTCGCTCTGGCGGCGTCAGCACCTTGTGTTGCATGAGGCTGTATGGCTCCAAACCAACTGTGCATTGCCTCAGGCTGCATAGAAACCGAGACTATATGGAAGGCTTGCATGGTGTCTCTAGTTCCTCAGTAGCCCCGACCAGATACCAATATCTTCGTACCTGTCAGCGCATCAGCTGCAATGCTGTCAGTCACCCTGCAGTTTATCATGGAAGCCTGCATTAGCGCATCATGCCAAACAAAAGACAGTCATGGCTCCGTCCCTGGAACTCCGTCTCCGTTCTTCCAGCTCGCCACTCACTGTAACATCCATCTGCACTTTGATCCACAGCATGGCCACACCACGGTCGCAGGAAAGGTACTTTTGTGTCAAGCGCGCCGTGCGGACTTGCTCGGTTCGAGTCAAGCTGACTGCTTTGACTTCGAACATTTTGGGATACGAGACAGACAGGCCCTTGCTCAGTCGGAGAACTCCGTGCGAAAGCGAGCTATGTATGCAATCGTCGTGATTCTGGAGAACCTCGTGTGGTTCTTGCTTTGAGGCAGATGCGCTCTTCTTATTTTATGTAGAAAAAGTATGCGAGTAAATTTTTCTTCCTTTGCAACCAAGATGCCATGCGATGTTTTCTGGAGCTGTCTTAAATGACAAGTCGAGGATTTGGTTGAGTTGACCTGTCATTGCCATGTGATTTGGAATCGAAGCAGCTGCGTAACCGGGAATGGAGGAGACATCAATGGCGTTGATATGATGCATCAAGGATCCATTGAGATGATGAAATTTAGACCTGACGATACGGTTTCGAGTCTAAATAAGAAAGACGTACGGAGTATACCTCAGTCGGCGGGTTTCGAGAAGCAGACTGGAAGATGTGGTAGAATACCGTAGAGAAAGAAGGAGTGGTTACAGTAGGGGAAAAAGACGCTAAGATAAGGATAAGCCACGCACAGACCAAGCGGGAAAATCCCATCGCATTCATTTTCCATCTCCGACATCAACAACCATTTTTTCCCCTCAATTTAGCAGCCAGGTGAAGCCTCCACAGTTGTCACCCGGACCATCGGCGACCCTCTCCTGGGATATAATTTCAGGTTCTCGACTCTACCGACCGTAATCATGGCGGACTCAATTGCCCCTGCCACCACAACGCCCAAGCCCGTCCACACGATCGTGCTCGATGCCGGCCCAATCCTCAAGAATACCCCGCCGCTCTCAACCCTGCTCGCCCAAAGCGAAGAACTCCTCATCACTCCCTCCGTTGTGAGCGAAATTCGGGATCCTGCCGCTCGTCAGCGTGTTGAGACCCTTTATCTCCCTTTCCTGAAGCAACGTACCCCGAGCCCTAAGAGTGTCGCTGTGATCAGCGAGTTCGCCCGCAAGACTGGTGACCGGGCCGTGCTCAGTCGAACCGATCTTGAAGTCATCGCTCTTGCCTACGAGATCGAGTGTGAGCGAAACGGTGGCGATTGGAGACTTCGCAGCGTACCCGGTCAAAAGCAGGTTAACGGCAAGCCGCCCGCTCCTGTTGTTGTTGCGCAGGAGGACAAATCTGAGCAGGAGGCCGACAAGCCTGCCGAAGAGAAAGTTGAGGAGGCCGCCGAGACCAAGGATATCGAGGTGGAAGCAGAGCGTACGGATGTCGACGCTGTCGCCGAGGAATTGAAGGACGCAAAGCTGGAGGACCAGCATGATGCCGAGAAGCAACCTCAACCAGAAGTTGTAATCTCAGAAAATGCTGAATCCCCGGCAGAGGACGAGGAGGAAGGTTCCGACGAAAATGATGACGATGATGATGGCTGGATTACGCCCTCGAACTTGAAGAAGCGGCAGGCCCGCGACGAAGCCAGTTCTGTGTCGGCGGCTCCTGAGCCTAAGGTCATGCAAGTCGCTACCATGACTACTGATTTCGCTGTACGTTCTTCGCCTAAGACAGCAGACTCATATACTGATCACATATGTAGTGCCAAAACGTTCTTCTCCAGATGAACCTGAATCTCCTCTCGACCACCACTCTGCAGCGTATCCGACACCTGAAGTCCTTCGTCAAGCGCTGTCACGCATGCTTTTCCACCACCAAGGACATGAACAAGCAATTCTGCCCGCGCTGTGGCAAGGATACGCTCACCCGGGTGTCTTGCACGACGAACTCAAATGGGCAATTCACGATGCATCTCAAGAAGAACATGCAGTGGAATAACCGAGGAAACGTCTACAGCGTCCCCAAGCCCGTCCATGGCAGCTCAAACGGCAAGTGGAAGGGCGGCGGTGGAAAGGGTGGCTGGGGTACGGAGCTCATCTTCGCAGAGGATCAAAAGGAGTTCAGTCGCGCCACTGCGGAGCAGAACCGCAGAATGCGAAAAGAGCATGACCTCATGGACGAGGATTACCTCCCCAACATTTTGAGTGGTGAGCGTAAACAACATGGTCGTGTGCGCGTCGGAGCTGGTAGGAACGTGAACTCGAGGAAGCGGTAATGGCCCATTTGGGGTTTCGTTGATTTCTTTCTTCCTTCTTGCATTGATCGGAACTGGCGTCTGGCAAAAAGTTTGATGATCCTCTGGCTTCTTTCAGGGGTCTGGATGACTACGGGATTATAATGGTGATTGACTTCAATGACTTGGATAGACATACTACATTTAACATGCACTACGCAATGGACATAAATGGAACCAGTGCCTTTCCATTAGTAGATGATAGATTAGGACCGAGCTAAATCACCAATAAATGGGTAGCAAAAATGATATCACTTTTCCCACCTGTGAGATAATCGGGCACCGCACAAACTGGAAAGATAGAAAAAAGGGTTTCATCATCCATTCAAAGACCATTGATAACACCATTCGCCAATAAATGATTCAAAAGCACTGTGTGTATATCAAGCGACTACTGCCTCATCGTCTCGCTTATTACAACTGAGCAGCCTCCTTCTCTGTAGGGTGGGGTTAGCTGTGATCAAGGCATGTGCGGTCTCGGGAGAGCTCGTACCAGGCTGCTGGGTGAGAAGCAGACCGTATCTCTTCTTGAGGGTAACACGGTGTCTGTACGGAGAGACGCGATGTCAGCACTTGTTGAACGTGATGAAGATGAACGATCATCTTGGGTTCTGTTATCCGAACGCACCTGGAGTACTTGTCATCGGGAGAGAATCTGGCAGGGTGGGCCGACTTGGTGGTGCGACCATCAAGGACCTTCTTCAAGGTGTAGATCCGCTTGCCATCCTCGCCGAGAGTGTACTATTTCACCAGTCAATTTCCCTGCTAGACATAATCCTTGTGGTGCACACGACGAGTTGTTAGGACATACCATAAGATGCATCCTAGAGTCGAGCGGTTAGCACCAACATTTGCATTTGAATAATCTCATTCCAGTAACAACTTACTTGAATGAGTGTTCGAAAACGGTTGTCGATTTATAAATAATTGCAGAAACGAATGTCGTCGCGGGGTTAACGTTCAATTGCAAGAACAATCTTCAACAGCTCCGAGTCCGCAGGAAATTTTTGGCGCCGCAGAAAAACGCACGGGACTCGGCTCACCGCCTGGGGAAGGCTAGCTGAGTCAGCCGTCACACCCCATTTAAGGCTGGTCAAGCGAATAATTTTTTCCTCTCCTCTTGTGTTTCTGAGTGTCGATTATCGACTTTTTTTTTTGTCTGCACAACACAATCCTCGGATGTTGACAGTGAAGAGATAGGGTCTCGGCTCTGATGCTGATGTGCATCTGCTATATCATACTATTATGATCTGGAAAGATCCTATCTATGCTATCGATTCCCTCATTTGTGTAATTTGACTCGTGCAGACAAATCAACCCAGATCTTAGGGAAGATTTCGGGTAAGCTTTAGCTAGCTAGCAAAGCAGCTTTGATCGATCGAACTTGCAAGCAAGAGGTGGTTCGGGATTCTATTCATTTTCTTCGGTGATGATAACATACCTAAAGCTTAGACAATGGCAACTTTGATTTCTTCGCTGTTGTCGATGAAGGCTTTATTTGACTACAACGGTATCTGAGAAGAAGATGAATAGCATCCAGGGCGCTCTTGCATGCAACAAGCATCATGGCTGTTCAATCTCGTAAACGAAGAGTTGCCTGCTGACTCTTCATCAGTAGTTAGAAATCAATCTATCGAGTCTCATCAAATCAATTTTAATTTATACGTACCATATGGCTCCTTCATCTCCTGTTCCTAACTCTTCCCGTGGTGCTAGCTCTGGCCCTGCTAGTATCCAGATCGAGTCCCAGAAAAATGCATCGCCTGCTCGTCGTTCGCGGCCGCCGCGGCCCAATTACAAACATATCCATCGCTTCCCTCTCCCCGTTGATGTCCATCCTTTGCCGCCTCTGATCCCTCATAATCCATTGTCGATTGTCAGCGTGCTGTTGTCCTATTTGACATACCTCATCGCACCACCCAAACAGCATGTCTACGAGGCTTATTTTGACTCTGCGACGTCATCTGTCCATGTCACGGACCCGAAGGCCATCCGAGCTCTCTGGGAGATGGGTTTCTTTGGCAAGGGTAATCTTAGTCGGAGTGAACCGAGCTGGCTGGAGCGAGAGAAGAAGCGGCGCGGATTGCTCGGTGGCACTACAAGTGAGGAGGTCACCCGGCAGCGCCGGACAGAACGTCGCGAATTGAAGATGGATCGAGCTCGCATGGAGAAGCTGGCCATCCAAGAACGACTGAAGGCCGAAGCAGCCGCCCGGCAAGGCGACAATTTGTCTGTCGAGCAGCCCTCTCAATCGCCGTCCGCAGACACATCGGCAGAGAAGTTCTCACTGAGAAAAGCCAAAGAAGCGAGGCTGTTGGACTCGCAGCGCTCAATCACACAGAATGGCGAAGCGCGCCCTTCCAACACACCCGGAGAGCAAATCTCCAATGGTAGCGGCAAGACCGTTCGATTTTCCCCGGTTGTGCAGGCTAAGGAGTTCATCTCCGACTCGGCTATCCTGCAGCTTCCGGAGGTGATAGCAGAGGAAGACAAGGCCGGCGGTGCAGAAGAGGAGCCCATCTTGCAGAACGAAGAGCATCTTCACCTGTCGAACGAGGAAGCCTTCTTTCTCGCCTACGGACTTGGTGCACTGACGCTCCTGGACGACACACGCGAAGCCGTCATGACGACCTCGACTTTACTCCCCCTATTCTGCCAGCATGCCGACTTCCCACCCCGTGATTCGTCCTCAGAGATGAAGCCAGGCGATACTTTCCTGATCTCTTACGTCGTGTACCACCATTTCCGGTCTCTGGGATGGGTGGTGCGATCCGGTGTGAAGTTCGGGGTTGATTATCTTCTCTACAACCGTGGCCCGGTCTTCTCACATGCCGAGTTTGCGGTCGTCGTCGTTCCTTCCTACGTTGACTCCTACTGGTCAGAGACTGAGGAGCGCCGGAAGCACTGCGAAAAGCAAGTGTCCCGCAGCTGGTGGTGGCTGCATTGCGTCAACCGTGTTCAAGCCCAAGTGAAGAAGAGCTTGGTGGTTTGCTATGTAGAAGTGCCACCGCCGGCTTCGTACGATCTGGACGAACCATCAGAGACTGATATTGGGAGACTGCTTGCTCGGTACCAAGTTCGAGAGATGGTGGTACGCAGATGGGTGCCTAACCGTACTCGTGACTGATCCTGTGTGCTTCCTTTCCTTCATCTTGTATCATCCTGACTGAGCAGTGACCTGGTGTTGGATGAATACTTACTTTGTAATTGCTCCACTCTGACGCAAGCTGTACTTCTTAGCAAACTCCAGCAATTATGTACAATATCCCGTTATGATGGAAACCATGCTTTGTTTCTGTATATCTGATCCTTGCCTTGACCACTCGTACAATCATCATGGTCTAGACTCAAGGCGGTAAAATTGATGACGTATCACGTGATACACGCGTCTCGCGTTTTGTGGTTCCGGAGCGCAGTGATTTGGATGTCATCGACTTCGACTGTCCGGAACTTCGATGCAGCCTCGGCGCAACGTTCCTTGTATCTCTAAATCTAGGCATGGGAACGATGTGATAATAATCAATCAAAGGCCTTGATTCTACGGAGTGTACGGGACTATGGAGACCCAAGAAGATAGCATCGATATCGCGAGGCTGCAGCGCGTCGCGTTGGGCCAGGTGAGTGACCACTTCAGTGGCGGCGGCGTCTCCGATCCAGTCTCCGCATTGGACTAATTCGATTGATCTTGGGCAATTTGAAAGGAACCTATACAGTCGCAGTTAATGGCAGAGAAGTCTGTATTGATTGATCAAGACGACGGTCGACAAGAACTTGAACAGCAATTGCCGACCGACGACGGACAGGGTGCGCAGATATCCTCCGAACCTGTGTCAACGACTTCGTCATCCAGTATAGCACAGAATGGCACCAGTGTGAGCTCATCAAAGCTACCCTCTTTCGAAGACCGCCCCAGCAGCCGCGCGGCGACTCAGCTGGGTAAGATGGGCTCCACAGAAACGCTCCCGTCGGATACCCAGTTGATCTCCCAGCGCGTGTACGATGAGATCATTCGCAAAAACCAGGAAGACGGCCCTGGCGTGAACCACGACAGTAATTTTGGGGACCAAGCTACACTTATGACCCTGCATGAAGGGGACAGCGGCCATCTCGACCTATTGGCGGGTTACGACAACGTTAATGCAGAACTGGTCAACATTGACGATAATGATGACCGGAGCAGCTCCAAACTAGGGGAGTCATCGCCTGCGTATTATCAGTCAAATTTGTTTCCCGAATCGCAGCGATTCGTGATGAAGACACCTGCGACTGCTGTGAAGCGGGCTCATTCAGACGGCCTTGCTACCATTTCGCCTACTATCTCACGGAACCCTCTTGCGACGGAGATTGGGTCGAGTGGTGGGATCATGGCTTTAAGCCAAGTGTTCAGGGCTACCCAGGCACCTTCCTCCCCGCTAGTCAATCGCCAGCAACATTCTGATCTTGTATCCGACCGGCCCTCACCCAACATCCCGATTCAGAAACACCCTCTCGCCGCAAATCTGTCATCCCCGTACGATCGAATGGCGGCAACCTTCCCGCGGGACTCTTCAGCGCACAAGCTCAAGTATATCTCTATGCAGGAATCTCAGGCGAATCGTGATAAACTGTTGAATGAGAGGATGACCCGTTCGGCGGATCCTGTGTTCCCCGGTGACCCAAGCGATGACGACTTTGGCAAGGAGCCTAGCTTTGTCGAACGCATGAGGCGGCACCGCACGATAAACGAGGAGATAGCACCCCAGCTTGCAGGTCTTAAGGCACCTGCAAGGTCGGAGGGTAGCCGAAGCAGACAAGCTAGTAAGGGCTCGTTGTCACCACCAGGGGACTTGGGTCTGCAAGTTTGGAACGATCAATCTATTGCAGAGATCGATGGTGAGCAGAGGGCAGCCGCAGATTCCACTGTCCCGCAGCGGGGTGGCTCGAGCGAAGAAGAAACTGAACAAGAGCAAGAAGACAATAGGGGTCAGTCCATCCCACCATCCACGGAGCATATTCCTGCGGCAGAGGAAGACAAAGAAAACTGTCTTGATCTAGCAGCAACGCCTGTAGCCGCCACCACTAGCGCACATGATCGTCTTTCGCAGGCCCTCGCCTTTGATGGTAGTACTTCACCCGCTCATGGAAGCCCAGAAAAGCAACAGCTTCAGCTACACCTAGCTCACAACATCGCTCACTTGGACGAGCCCTATGAGCACGGCAGGTCGTCACAGATATTAATCGTCAAAGATTCTCAGCGCTCTCCTAGGCAGAGGGAAGCCGACGCAGAAGTCGAGAGGAACCGCAGCCGAAGAACATCACATTGTCCGGACTCTCAGGTTCAGATCGATCCTACATCGGACATTGACAGGATCATGTCGCCGCCCACGAAGCAAGTCCGCTTGCAATCTTCCCCGCCCGCTGAATCGCGTCGTCTTCGACTGTCTTTTGAACGGGGTGAAGTCCAGGACATAAATGTTGGCGAATCGATATCTGGCTGGCCCCAGCGCTCTCCCACACCGAAAGCCACGCAGCCTCTAGAGGGTAGCTTACTAGATTCGAGTAATACAGTGTCTCAGCAGCCCAGAGTTGTAGGTGACAAGCCTTCAACCTTTGATTTCCGGGGTAAATCATCGTCGATGCCCTCTCGTGTGGCTGAAACACCAGTTCCCCCTATGGACCTTGCGGATGCGGTGCCAACGATCAGCATTCCGGAGACTAGTCCCAACCGACTGGGAAACCAAGGTTGGCCCAACGACATGAACAATAACGAGACAGCGGATCAAGAAGACGATGATCTGCCGCCGGTTTATCAAGCCGCGCATGAACGGGCATCGCATTCGCATCGGGTTGTCTTGAACAGCTCCTCGCCTTCGAAGCCATCCCTGACCTCAATTTCGAAGCTTCTATCAAGCCCGAGTGGGAGGCAACGGAGGGCACTTACGGAGATTGCTGCTGATGCCTCACCGAAAGGAGGGACTGGGGCTTTCAACCCAGACATTGATATTATGTCAGCCGAGGACTGGGAGTTCAAAGCCGCAGTTGCCAGGCATCAAGACTCGCCGAGGAAGAAACGCCGAGGCAACAACGGACAGGGTGTCATTGCTTCTGATCCTATTCTTCCGGGGACTCCCCGTCTTACCAGTCGGTTTGTACCTCTTCAACCTGTTTCCGAAGATCTTGTTGAACCTGCGACGACGAGAACCGTGACTGAGGTGCAGATGGACATGCAGCCGGACGCACAGCAGGAAAATTTGCAGAGCAAAGCAGCGAAGGCTTATCAGAGACGCTCTAGACCTCCTCGGAGCGCGGACAGTGTGTGGGATATGGACGATTCTCCTCCGCGAACCTTCGTTCCGCGCAAACACAGGTCACGATTGCTGTCTCGTCCACGACTGTTGAATCGACAAAGGTCTGTAGAGACTGAGCGAGGCGGATCACCGAGCAAGGAGCGGTCGAGTATTGCGCAGCAACGCCAAGCAATCAGCCCTATGCCTGAGGAACCACGCAGCGATATCACCATTCAAGATCCGATAGAGACGCCGGCCACGGTCAGTCCTGCCACGGATAATGTGCCTACTGTCGGACCGGCCATGCCGTCTTTGACTGAGAAAGTCCCAGTCGCAGCAAACCAGGTCTTCGCTCCCTGGTGTGGAACAAAGCGTGCGTACTATCCGGCAACGTGTTTTGGCAAGCCATTCGGAACGTCGCAGTCTCGGTATCGGGTAAAGTTCGAAGACAGTGCACCTGTGGACATTCCAATGGGAGCTGTCAAGAGATTGGAACTCCGTCCCGGCGATGCCGTCAAAGTGGACATGCCGAACGTGCCCAAGGTCACGCATGTTATTCGGAGCTTTGTCCGCAAGCTGAGCATAGACGAGATTGAACAGGGCGCCGCGAACGGGGTGGTTCCCATGACGGATATCTATGGCTACTCAGCTGTGATGGTAGGCCCCAAGCAGCGCAAGAGTCTTCCTAATGCCGGCTTGGCCGTCACTGAGAGCCTCATTGAAGTGCCAATCTCCAAGATCTACCTCGACACAATTTTGTGGAACCAACTCAAAGATCGCTCCTTCACCTATATCTCCGAACCAGTGTTTCTTGAGCGCGGCGCTCCAACACCATCGGAGAGACTTTCCACGCCTATCTCCTCTCCTGGTGCGCGCCTGTCACGCAGCATCCGCTTCTCAAATGGTTTGTTCGCCGGAATGGTCTTTGCTGTCTCTTTTGGAGACAACAACGAGGCCAAGGCTCGCGTGGTAAAAGTGATACTAGAAAACGACGGGCGCATCTTAGAAGATGGATTCAACGAGCTTTTCGATCTACCGCTGAACGCCCCCGTCGCCACTCCCACCAAGCAGCCACCCACGGAATCGAACACACAGCATGACCTCCTCCAGCTCAGCAGCAGCGCCGCAGACGTAGGCTTTGCCTGCTTGATCGCAGACAGACATTCTCGCCGATCAAAGTACATGCAGGCTCTAGCGCTTAACCTCCCATGTCTCTCAGACCGCTGGATTGAAGACTGCGTCGCGCGAGGCCGGATCATCGACTGGGAGATATACCTCCTCCCCGCCGGAGAATCCACATACCTCAACGGAGCGACCAAGTCACGAATCCTAACGCCGTACCCGGCCACCGAGGCACGACTCTCGGAGACCATCGCCGGAAGACCTAATCTCCTGAACGGGCAGTCCGTTCTCCTAGTCACAGGACGCAGTGGCCGCATCGACGAGGAGCGACGCAAGGCCTACCTATTCCTGACCTATGCTCTCGGGGCCTTGCGGATCGAGCGTGTCTCAGACTTGAAGTCTGCTCGAGCCATCCTAAACGCACAGACTGAGGACGGGCCCGTCCGCAAGCGCAGCTGGGATTGGATCTACATCGATGACGATGACAAGCCATCTGCGAGAGCGATGGCCCTGAGCTCGGCGGGAGTGTCTGGCGCTGGCCCTAACTCGCGCAAACGGAAGCGGACCAAGCTCATGGAGTCGGTAACCGGCGACGATCTTGGGTTGAGCACGAATGTCAGGATTGTGGGCAATGAGTTCGTCTGCCAAAGCTTGATTCTGGGTCGATTGTTCGACTAGTGAAATGATGACTGTTCTCGTGGCATGTGATATGTCTGGGATATGACTTTTCCAAACCGCGTTGGCTATTCCCGGGGGTTTTCAGGGATATAGGGGATTTGAAAACTTCGCTTTGGGCGGCGTATTTCGGGGTTCTTCCTTTTGTGTTTCGGGGCTCGTGATCAAAACTTTCTCTTCTGCGGAATGATAGGAGTATTTAAAGTGCATATACCCTTTGTGAGAATTTTAGCTGCGCAATCCACTATTTCAATGATAACAATCATGACAATTGCTCTTGAACCACTTGAAGAAGCGTTCTATTTGCACATGTAGGCGGAAACAGAGACATACTGGAGACATCTTATCTTATAATACATGAAAAATGGAAAAGTAAACACCCAATAATAAACCCCATGACTGTACGCAAATGCCAGAGACGAGAATGAGAAAGAAAGAAAAAGAAATTCACTGCATGCCAGGGACCGAGTAGGTCACATCACGGACGTAGAGCAAGCAAGCAAAGTAGCCGGGCGAGCAAGAAAAGAAAGGCGAGAGTGGACAATAACCGGCTACAAGATCAAGTCCAAAACCCCGGCTCTCACAAAAGAAAGACCCAACGGCCCGGGAATTTCCAGGTTCCCGTCTATTTCTTCGCCTTCTTAGCGGCCTTCTTGGAGGACTTCAAGCTCTTCATCTGAGCGACGCGCTCAGCCTTGGCCGTTCTCTTGCGCCACGCCAGCCAGCGGTTCTTGCGACGATGGGGCAGGGCGGTGATGCCGGCCTTCTCCGCGGCACGACCGATCTGCCAGTTCGCCTCACGGTACATGTAGCCGGGGCGGAACCGCAAGCCGGCCTCCGCATCGACCGCGGGCACATCCCCGACCGTCGTCCCCTCCGCGGTGACCTCGGCCACCAGGTCGGTCTGCTTTTGGTTGACGGGCAGGTCGGCGGGATCGAAGCGCGCGGCGACGCGGCCGAGGCGGCGGCGGGTGGGCGCGTTGCGCGGCGTGGGCAGCTTGCCGTCCTTCTCGAAGACGACGCCGATGAACTTGCGGTCCGGGTGCCGCTCCGGGTCCAGGTAGTACCGCACGTAGCCGGACTGCATGCTGTAGATCGTGTGGTCCCGCCCCATGCCGCAGTTCTCGCCGGGGAACCACTTCGTCCCCCGCTGCTTGAAGATGATGCACCCGGGCACCACGTACTCGCCGGCGGAGCGCTTCGCGCCGAGACGCTTGCCGGCCGGATCGCGCGAGTGTCGGTTCGCGGTTCCTTGGGAGGCGTGCGAGGCGTGACGGATTTGTTGCTGGGTGAGGAGGCTGTTGAGGAGAGAATTCGTGGTGGGCGGGAGGAGGCGGGTGGTGTTGCTTCTTGTTAATGTCGTGGAGGACGAGGAGGAGGGCTTTGTGATGGCGGAGTTGAGGACGGGTCGGGAGAGGATCGAGGTCGAGTACGAGGCGACGCGAAGGGTGGAGGGCGCAATGGCTCGTTCTAGAGCCCGGAAGGGCGCTAGAACTCCACGGGGTTGGAACATGGCGTGTAGTAACTGGAAGGGAGACGACCGCAGCCTGGTTCTCTTTTTCCTCGGGCGTGGAGAAGGGGAAAATGAAGCTATCCAGACCGGCGGCTTCCTTTTTTTTGCGGGATGAGAAAAGGCTTGGCATGGTTGTGTTAGTCACGTGCTGCTATGGGAAGGGCCAACTGGCCGTCTTGGATCTATACAGTACTATTAATGACAAGTTCCCGCTTGCACGATTTCTAAGTGGACTTTTATTTCCTTGCAAACTTGACGAGGGATATACAATCGCTCAAAATGCTCGGCTGGATCAAGTCTTTCGGGCTCCTCCTCCTCCTGGCGTCTGTTGCCCACGCCCAATTCCAGTTCTTCGAGCATATGTTTGGCGGCGGCGGGGGCGGCGGCCATCAACATCAGGCTCCGCAGAATGTCCCTAGCGATAGTTCTCGGTATCAGAGTCAATGGGAGTCAGGTGAGTCTGCGGATGCTTATGGTCTTGTTTTTTGCATATGTTGCAGATTAGAGCTAACATGACTTACTTGTCCTCCAACTTCAGCTCACTGCGATCGCTACCTGTGCCCTGGAACCCTAGCATGCGTCCACTTTCCCCACCACTGTCCATGCCCGCATCCCGATGTCGAAGAGAAGATTGAGCTAGGAGAAGGGAGTGCGGTCTGTGTCTCTAAGGGAGGATTCAAGGCCGGCGAGGCTGTGCGCAAGGTCGAATTGGCGCGCAAGGGTCTTTTGTGATTGTATGCGGAATATCGGTGGATTACTACATTCTGTTAGGCAAAGCAACGGCTAGAGAGTATGCACTGGGACCTTTCGCAGATTGAGAACAGGCTGTCGAACGCTGCTTTCCTTGACATCCAGGGAGCATTGTGACTGGATGAGAGCGAACGTCTGATCACTGCGCGATACGGCCATCAATACCCTTCAACAACTCTGCCTCAAATGCTCAATGGAAACAATGTGACATATGTGTCTCCCCAGTTTTATGTCAGTACAGCGAAATCGATGCTCCGGCCAGTCCACTATGATGCGCATCCAACTTATTTAATTCGGGATTGATATAGGCTCCCGGGTTGCTGATGGCGCATAATGTACAGCACTTGCGAGAGGATCTAGCGATGATCGACAAGTGGGTAAGGTGCTTTTTGAGGACTCAGCACAAGTGTATTGTTCCACCGCAGTTAGAATGCCTTGGCTATGACCAATTACAATCTGAATAATCTCGGAGCAGTGCTATCTATGCTACTCATGTAAATGTAGAATTGAGCCTTCATGTTACAGGAAGTACGGCGAACTGATAACGATCTATAGCCGCCGAGGCGGGCCTGAGGCGAACAATTCCGTCATTAACGCCGCCATCCATGAATTTCTCTTTCCACGATCTAATCATCACTCAACTCGTCGCGCCGTTTCACACGATTTTCCTCCACCAAAATAAGTTGATCCTCTACGTACTCTACTATCACTGGTTTTATTTATTGCAAGATGTGGAGTGCCATACTCCGACCATCGCATGCGCGATGCTTTCGAACGCCCGGCCGGGCATTCGCCAGTTCACTGAATCGCGGACGAGTCAATCCTCGTGGCTCTCGCAATTCAATTCGCAGACCAGAACCCATCAGACGAAATGCCCCATCATCGCAATCCTCCGATCCACAACAACAACAACAACAACAACAACAACAACAACAACAACAACAAAACCCTCCTTCCGACTCACCAAATCCCCACTACGATCCCTCTCAGAACACACTACTTGCCCCCGTTCACATCCCGGAAGATCCTCATGGAGTGATCAAAGAGTGCCACCCGGCAACATCCATTCTGGCAAATTCGGGCCTGGTTGTCCAGCGCCAGCTAGAATTGATGAATGTCTTGATGTGAGTGCTTTCCCTCGCTGTACGTGTCTACGGAGGGGTAACATTGGCTCTCTCGGTCGCAGCGGGTTTGAACAAGCCAACAAATATGTTATCATGGATGCCAATGGAAACCATATCGGTTTCATGGCAGAGCAAGAGAAAGGCATGGGAAACATGATGGCGCGGCAGTGGTTCAATACACATCGAAGCTTTGTCACGCATGTCTTTGACAAACATGAGAATGAAGTGTTGCGGGTGAGTCTTACATGATGAAAGCAATTTAGCTCGAGTACTAATACAGCAACTTAGTTCCACCGCCCATTCTCATGGATCAACTCCCGTATTCGCGTCTACGACCCTCTCGAGGTGGCTAAGAGTGCCCATTCCACGTCCACGGCCCTACAGACCAATTCCGCGAACTCACTAGCTCAAGCCTCCGGTGATTCGAATGCCCGCGTTTCGTCCCTCGGTTTCGATGACATGCGTGTTATTGGCGAAGCCCAGCAGCAATGGGCCCCGTTACGTCGCAAGTACAACCTCTTCACATATCACCATTCGCCCAATTCGGCCTTAGACATGGGAACGAAGACGCTACCACTCGAACAGACCGGCTTGTCAAGCTCTCAGCAAATGCAGCTGGTCCAGTCTTCGCAGGCTGGTCAGGCTACAGGTGCCTATAACCAGTTCGCGTATGTCGATGAGCCTTTCCTGTCGTGGGACTTTGCTCTCCGTTCCGCTGACAGCCGGCTGATTGGATCTGTCAACCGGAATTTTGCCGGGTTTGCACGCGAGTTTTTCACGGACACTGGTGTTTATGCCTTGCGGATGGACTCCGCCTCTCCGAGCGAGCAGACTCCCGAGCAGTCCGGCGCCGTGACTGCAATGAGTCTAGACCAGCGCGCTGTCATGCTGGCCACTGCAGTCAGCATTGACTTCGACTACTTCAGTCGCCATAGCGGCGCCGGCGGCTTTGGCTTCATGCCCCTCTGGTTTCCTGGTTTCGGCGGAGAGGCTGCCGCCGGGGGAGCTGCCGCGGGAGGTGCCGCCGCAGGGGGTGCTGTCGCTGGCGAGGCCGGGGCCGCTGGAGCTGCTGGGGCCGTTGGAGAAGCTGCTGCAGGTACTATCGGTAGGGCTGGGGCTGGGGCCGCCGGCGGCTTGGCTGATGGTGCAATGGCAGGCGCAGCAGGTGCCGGCGCCATGGCCGGATACGACGCCATGTCGCGGGGCGTGGGAGGAACTCCACCAGCTTCTCCTCCCGACTCTCAAGCTGCACCTGGGGATCAGCAACCTCCGGCACAAGGTCAGACGGGTCCATACGGGGACGTCTGGGCAGATGAACAACAAGAGAAACCCGGGGATCATAGAGAAGACCCGTGGGCGGATGAGGAAGATGATGGAGGCGACGGGGGTGACGGTGATAGTTGGGACTTCTTCTGAGGAGCATGGTGAAGCCTTGACTCGCGGTTTACAGACGTATCACAAGGCATGTTGAGCTGGTATAGCTTCGACAAGCCAAAGAACATGCTGTGAGAAGACCGACCACCTAGAGGTGAAAGTTGTCAACAGTGTAAAGGCTTGTCAAGTCATTGGCAGCTAAAGGACCAAGAATGACTTCGATCTGGATGACGATGAGGAACGATTAGCATATCAAGAGCATTGTGAATTGCTCTCTTGAACCGCTCGAGCACTTGGCATAGTTAAGTACTCCGGGTATCCAAGCACTCCCACTACAAAGGTGTTGACGAGATATGGAAAGTTAGGCTAGTAGCTTATACTCAGATGCAAAATGAAGGCGTCGCCACTCAATGTATCTAAATTATATTCATAAATGTGTATAGACTATGGCTTATACCAAGTAGCTCTATCAAGCAATTCTACGGAGACCAAGTGTTCATTTCTACTATGATTGCCGATTAGCAGTTCCAATAGGGCAGGCGGCGATAAGGGCCGGGAGGAAATCAGTAGCCTGAGGCAGAAAACCCATTCTCCCCCCTCATCAATCAATGGATGCGTTCATCGGATTCTTGGATTCCTCTTTGAATGGACAATACCTACTAATCAAAGTGGCAAATCCAGAGAAATTGAATCACATTTCTCCAATTGCTTTTCTTTCCCACCTGTCTAGTATCCAGTCTTCCAGTTCCGTCCCTTTTGCCCCTCACCCCTTGCCAAAAGGTACATTAAGCCCCCCGTTTGTCTCGCGCACCCCCCCCAATCCCCATCCTCTCGTACCAACTCCTCCCGGCCATTCTCTCCGCACCCGGAGTCCATCTTCCCGCATTTCCCTCTTTATCACTTCCCTCCCCCTCAAAACCCTCCGTCTTATCGTTCCACGGGCACATCCCACTTTTTTTTCTTTTCTAGAGTCTTGCTCTATACTACACACACAGCAAGAACTAACACACCTTCTCTTACAAAAGATCTCTCGCACAGGCCCGCCATCATGTCATCCGTCGCACAGAAGCGCCTCTTCCACGAGTACAAGAACCTCTCAACCAACCCGCCGGATGGCATCACCGCTGGCCCCGTCACGGAAGATGACATGTTCCACTGGGAAGCCTTGATTCAGGGGCCGGAGGGCACCCCGTTCGAGGGCGGTGTTTTCGCGGCCGAGCTGAAGTTTCCCAAGGATTATCCGCTGAGCCCGCCGACTATGAAGTTCGTTGGCGGTGGGGTTTGGCATCCCAATGGTCAGTAACCTTGCATTTTAGCCCTCAATTTTGTTGGGTTCAAGATCTCTCTGCTCCCCGACGCATAACCATACATGTGCAAAGCTAGAAATCTGACGGGCTGTGATTTCTTGTTATAGTGTACCCTAATGGCACCGTCTGCATTTCCATCCTCCACCCCCCCGGTGACGACCCGAACCACTACGAACACGCCTCGGAACGCTGGTCCCCCATCCAGAGCGTGGAGAAGATCCTCATTTCCGTGATGAGCATGCTCGCCGAGCCAAATGACGAAAGTCCCGCGAATGTCGAGGCGGCTAAGATGTGGCGTGAGCGACGGAGTGAGTACGAGCGTAAGGTCCGTGACGAGGTCCGGAAAGGCTTGGGGTTATGATTTCTTGCTGCCTTGGGGGAGGCCGTGCTTATTTGGGCTATAACTTTCACAAGACAAGAAAAAATACACAAGCAAGCACGGGCTAGCTAAAGTATATAGGGAAGCCGGTCGTCCTTCACCTGCACATGTTTATGAACTTGTTCTTCCTTTTTGTCGGGAAGAAGTGCGTGGTATAGCCTGTTGGGTGCATTGGTGCCGGTGCTGGCGTTTTCGTGGTGTGCTCATTCGTTCATTTTCTTTTCTCGATCTTCCTTTTTTCTTTGCTCCAGTTCCTTTCTTCACATGCAAATCATAGGGTCCGACCTGATATCTTTATCAATGCATATATGTCCGTTGTGGGGGGTGCAGATAAGTTTGTGTTCTTTTTGTACCACCATCCCAAGACTACTGTGGCACATATTCCTTCACGGGAAGTGCGTCATCCTGCGGTCTAGCCATCGGACGAGGCCCCCGTCGCCGTCATAGAGGATCTGCATCTCCGCCTTGACGTTCAGCATCAGCATCTGCAGCAACTCAGCCCGTGCCTCTTGCTCGGGACCATCCACCGCCCACACGGGGTTATGGGCCAGCATCGCCAGGATCTTCTTCCTGTCTCTCGGGGTCAAGCTGAGGAGGGCATCGTTCCCCGATGGGTCCACTCCGGTCACGATGTCCGAGGTCCGGAGGCCAAGCCAGTGGATCTCAGGGCAGTTCAATGCGCTGTTCTCGTGCGCATATGCCAGGGACCCGTACTTGTACGTGGACATGATTGCCATTCCATCGGGGTCACCGTCCACAAGTGCATAGAATCGTATTCGTTTGCTCGATTGCCGGCGTCTGCTTTCTTCGTAAAGCCGGCGAACGAAGGCTCGTGTGTTGAGGTCCGGGTATCCTTTGCCCTGTTGCAGGTTATCCTCTTGGAAATGAAGAAAAGGGTTGGATAGGGCTGGGATCTCACTGTGACCAGAATCCCCAGACCCGCTGTAGATCGCACATGGTAGTTCATTCCCGCGAGTCGGCGGTACACTGCCTGCTTGTTTGTTCGCAATTAGCCAACTCCAGGTTCATATATTGTATAGGCGACGGACTAGACTTTACCTCTTTTTCCAGGATGAGCACCCACTCGATATCTGAAACCTCCAGACCCAGGATATCCTGCGGCCTCGGGACAAGGGTATCCTGCACGGGGGCGTGAAAGTCAGCTACAAAGTCCCCAGATTGGAGTTTTTTTTTCTTTAACGTGTGCGCCAACCGGATTGAAAAAATGTGCATCGTCAACCATCGCCTGATCTCTGATCCTCCATTGAAAACATCCAACGACGAGGCCCTTGGCTGCTGCTCCCTAGACAGTCAGCCATTGCGGTGGTCAGCTCGTGCATTTCTTCCCCTCGGCTTCTCCACTATCAGCAGCACCAGAGGAACACCAGTACAGACCACATTCAGCGCCGTTCTGTCCACACCAACCGTATGCGCGAAGTCATCGACCAGTCTATCCACGATGCGCTGGGATCCAAATACCGCCGGGTCATTGTAGTAAATATCTCTGTTCTCGCGGTGAATTGGGGGGATCAGCCTGTTGTCCGATGTGCTACCTGTTCTGTGTGCTGCAGAAATACAGTACCTCTTCGAGACCACCACTCCCTTGTCCACCGCGTCAGCGATCCCACTGAGGACTCGCATTGCGACAGCTGGATTTGAAGGGCATACCCTACATTAACGGTCTTTCACTCCGTGGATCGCACCCGGAATTGGTAGTGTAGGGGAGGGAAAGGGGGTGGAGGAACACACTAAACTTCCAAGCCTCGTAGCAGTCTTTTCCCGGCCAGGTGTATGTGGTGGATCCAGCGGAGGCAGCATGGGTCTCCAGGGCCCCGGTCTCATGGTTTATGAATCGCGTGGAGACTTTTGTGGACCGCGGCTTGAGCGTGATGGAGGGGTGGCCGTCCGGGGAGGCGAGCTCGGTGAGGAGGTTGGATAGGGTGTTGGTGATGTAGTCTTTCACGCGAGATTGATTGTGCTCTTCGGTGGGGGAGGGAGAGGCTGTGTTGAGGTGGTGGGGAGTTTGTGGGTTGAGGGGCATGATGGCTGGGCTGATGGAATTGTGGGACTGTGAGACTGTGATTTAGAGGGGATTGGGTTGTTGAGAGGGGTTTGGGCTGGTCTTTGAGGTGTAGTATGTGGGCTGGGATTTGTGTATAGATTGGTGTAGGTAGTATAAAATAGTCGGATTGGGATCTTGTGGAGCGTGTTGTACGCGGTTTAGATTATAGCCATTTTATGGCTTTACACTCTGTACATTCGCTGTGATTGACTGTTCATTCGATGTGAATAGTATAGTTTCAGGGAATTGTTGGTTACATGGAGAATGGAAGGTGTGTAGTAGACTAGATGAGCAGCTTGAAGCCTCAGGCATGAATGAGTGTATAGATTGGAGGATTTCAAGTGTGTCCATTCATAATGCACAATAGCTGTATTCTAACCTGGAAACAATGGAAGCCGTATGCTGCTGTAAGGTATTTTACTTGATCTATTGATCTATTGTGTTCCACAGAGTCCTGGTTAAGAATAATAAGGTAGAAACACTGCGGTAGACATTGTTGAGCTTGACTGACAGGCCTCGGCGTGAGGGCGGGACAATAATTTCCTGCCGCTTTCCTCTTCCTCCGCTCTCAGTAACAGCTCGGCTTTCCGCGTCGCATCTCCGGTCCTCCTCCATCAGCTCCAATCTATTCTCAGGGCGCTCGATTAACACGAGTGTCGACTCCGTTTGACTTTCATGATTCCTTCATTCGAGGATTTAATTCTCTCTCTTGTCTTCCTCATTTTGTGATAATACTTCTCCCTCCCTCATCACCCTCCAACACACCCCTCGCCTTTGCTACGACCTCTACCGCACCCTCCTCCGCTCCGCTTCATCTCAATTCAACCATCGCCATCTCCACCGCCATGTCGGTCTGGAACCCAGATAACATCCGCGATGTTGCCGAGTCGGTGGGCATCGTCAACCTCAACAACGATGTGACCGAGAACCTTGCCCGTGACGTCGAATACCGCATCGCGCAGGTTCTGGAAGAAGCCCTCAAATTCATGCGCCACAGTCGACGAACGCTGCTCTCAACACAGGATGTCGCACAGGCCTTGCGCGTGCTCGATGTCGAGCCACTCTACGGATATGAATCCACGAGGCCCCTGCGGTTCGGGGAGGCGTCGCTGGGACCTGGACAACCGCTGTTCTACGTGGAAGACGAGGAGGTGGACTTCGAAAAGCTGATTAACGCGCCATTACCCAGAGTCCCCCGAGAAATCTCGTTCACAGGTAAGGATCCCCGGTCTGTCGCTTGGTCTTCCATTGCTGACGCAGCATAGCGCACTGGCTCGCCGTCGAAGGAGTGCAACCGTCCATCCCTCAGAACCCTACCGCGGCCGACTCGAGAAACCTCGAATTGATGTCCAAAGGTCCTAACGCTAGCTCGACGCTCGCGGCTATGAGTGGAGGGGGCAATGTGGCCGTCAAACCGCTGGTCAAGCATGTCTTGTCCAAGGAACTCCAGCTCTACTTCGAAAAAGTCTGCAACGCCTTCCTGGACGATTCCAGCGAAGAGTATCGCACATCAGGCTATGCTAGCCTACGAGAGGATCCGGGACTGCACCAGCTGGTCCCATACTTTGTTCAGTTCATTTCCGAGAAGGTGACCCACGGCCTGAAGGATATCTTTGTCCTTACACAGGTCATGCACATGGCGGAGGCCCTCGTGCAGAACAAATCACTATATGTTGACCCCTATGTGAGTGTATATACCACTACGGAGTGACATTCGCAAGGGTTACTAATGAGCTATCGGCAGATCCCATCGCTTGTCCCACCCATCCTCACCTGCCTGATCGCCCGACAACTGGGCGGCAGCGCTGAACTGACCGAGCAGTTCGCCCTCCGTGATCTTTCGGCGTCGCTCCTGGGTCTCATTGCCAAGAAGTACTCGCATTCCTCTCATACGCTCAAGCCACGACTGGCTCGCTCATGTCTGAAGACGTTTTTGGATCCGTCCAAACCATTTGGGGCGCATTACGGCGCCATCATTGGACTTCATGCGGTTGGCGGTGCCGAGGCGGTGCGGGTTCTGATTCTGCCTAACCTGCCGACCTACGGGAACCTGTTGAAGGACGGAATGGCGGAGGACAGCCCACGGCGACCGGAGGCCGAGAGAGTTCTCATGGTTTTGATGGGGGTTCTAGCAACGTTGCGGGAAGGACGCACGGCCCTCACCAACGGACACGGGGGCGTAGTCACGGAAGACCTGCGGGAGCGATTGAGTGGGAAAGTGGGTGACTTTCTGGCGACGAAGATCAAGGACGTGGGGGAGGTGGAAACCGCGCGGGCCATTCTCGACGCTTGACCGGTTGACCGGTAGAACCCTACAGTACCTAAGGTGGTACTAGGGCCCTAGGCTACAGCAACCCCTCTTTTGTCGCTCCGTATGGGATGATTCATATTTCTTAAGGTTCGTTTGCTTCTGTTGCAGCAAGAGATGGCGTTTTGGAAAAGGAAATAGGTGTTCTTGTTCTTTCTTGTTTTCCTTTCTGCCCCCCATTTCCCCCACTTTCCCTCCCTTTTTTTTTGTGACAGACTGGACGGAGTCATACATACAAAGTTAGTACTAGCATTCTAGCGGTGTCGATAATGATAAGAAATGACGCATGCACGACCTTCAATGGAGAAGTAAAAAGAAGATAGGGAAGAAGTGAGGGAGAGTAGAAAGGGATGAAGTGCCAGGCGCAGGTGAAAGGAAGGAAGTAAGATAGTGGAGGGAGTGACAACTCAGAATAATAATACTAAGAATAGGCTAGACTAAATTCCTAACCTTAGTATGGATACTCCGAGTAAACTTAACTACTGAGTACATACTACCGTGTCATTCCTGCCATGTGACTTTCTGCCATTTCCGATTGAATTTTGATTGAATTTCACGACGTCACTGCCTGGAGGGAGAGAAGATCAGCTGAGATAAGCATGAGGGGGAAATGAGCGGGGACTGACCGCCTACTTGATACAGTAACTATTCCCTTCTGCCAGCAGTGCTCTGGCCCTGTTCTCTCTGCCTCCCGAGTCCCTCCAGTCCAGTCCCGCCTGGAACTTTTCTTAGATTATTGACGCGGTCAGGCGTCAAAAAAACCACTCACCTGCTCATTCTTCTCCTTCTACAGATCGAATCAGCAGTGGGAGAGTCTGCCAGCCTACCTACAATAATACACCTTATCTCAACTACCCAGGCTCGTTCCTGCATCTCCCTCCAATTACGTATGCCCTTGCCCCTCTTCTTCTCCCCTTCTATCCTGCATTTCCCGGTTCTACTTGTTCCCTCTTCTCTGACCGGTCCTTTTTTTGCCAGGTTCTGTGCTGCAGCCAAAAGCCCAACCCAGATTGGTCTTTTGCGCCCCACGAAACTTTTTTCGGGCCCACAGAATAATAATCACTCAAAAGCATCAACTTCTCTTGCCCCCCCTCACGTCCGCGTCTTTCTCTCTCTGTTTAAATTCTTTCCCACCCCCTCCTTCCCCATTCCTCACTTTGTTGAGGTCTGTTTTGTTTTGTTAAAAACAACATATCTTGTCAACCATTGACTGCTCTTTGAAAGTCAATTCCGGTTGCTCAATCTTCTCTTTTTCCATTTTCCCCCGCCTGTTCTATCGCATTGCAACAAAAAGTCGTCTCGCAGATGTCCGATATTCTGGCTTCTCGCGACACCGTGCTGTTTTAAGCTCACTTCTTGTTTCGCCTTCCATGAACCCGAAGGATCTACTGCGATATCTGTCCAAGCCCGCAAAGTAGGCCCTCCTTCTTCTTCCTCCACGGTTCTTTCCTCTGCATCAGAAGAGACCGCCGTGTAACCGATTGCTCATGACTGACTTGTGATTCTACAGACCTCGATAGCACGATTAACACTCGACCTCGTTTCACTTGCGCAACCTGTTTTCTTCTCCATCTCTAAATCCTAAAAGCAGATACTCTCGTCTGCTAGACCCGATACTTTGAACGGTATCGGAATCTTCCAGAACGGGAGTCGACACCTGATAGTCACCATTCCCTTCGCCAGAGGCTTTTTCCTCCTTTCCCTTTCCTTCCGCCCTCCCTAGTAGCCCTCGAGGCTCTTTTGGAACCTTCCCCCCTCCGGCTGAGCGCCGATTCCGCCCTTGCGATTCAGGGCCTACTCTCTCAGACGGACATAGCCCCCCCTGTTCGTCTGGGCAGCAGATAGTGCTTCCTAGGCTCTTTTGTCTACGGTCCACACTTCCAGTCACGCGCTTGCTCCATCACTTGCTCCGTCGCCGCCGCTTATCTCCTTGTCGCATTCAGATTCCGCCAAGATGGTTTACATCGGGATTCCCAAGAATTACACTCAGTCGCCGTCCTCTTTCATGGGGACGCCGTTGCTGACGATCAACCATGAAGCGACCCAGGACCTTGACTCTACCAATGCTTTCGAAGGTAAGCCGGCTTCTTCTGGTGTTACTGCTGGTTTCACGTGCGCAGTGCTGATGTGTTCATAGGACCCGAGAAGCTCCTTGAGGTCTGGTTTGCGCCTTCCGCCCAAGAGCTGGGGTCTGCTGGACCCGCCGGTCTGAAGGCCGTGCCCGAGGAAATCTGGAAGGATATGCTGGATCTCGTCAACTGCCAAGTGCTCTCCATCGTGTCGTCCGAGGATGTGGACGCTTACCTCTTGTCCGAGTCCAGCATGTTTGTCTGGCCTCACAAGTTGATTCTCAAGACTTGTGGCACCACCACCTTGTTGTCTGGCTTGCCCCGCATTCTCGAGATCGCCACTTTGTTTGGCGGCTTCCCGCGCGCTGCGGCGCCCTCGCGTGGCATTTCCGTTGCTGCTGCGCCTTACCGCGTTTTCTACAGTCGCAAGAACTTCCTGTTCCCTGATCGTCAGCGCGGTCCCCACCGTAGCTGGAGAGATGAGGTTCGGACCATGGACCGACTGTTCTTGAACGGTAGCGCCTACATGATCGGCAAGATGAACGGCGAGCACTGGTACTTGTACCTGACTGAACCCAACACCATGCTCACACCTCCTGCGAGTCCCAAGGCGGATGACGAGGAGATGACTGAGACCAAGATTCTCAGTGTGCCCAGCCATGCTGTCATCCCGGGAGCCGAGGCTATGGATGAGACTCTGGAGGTGCTGATGACTGATTTGGAGGAGGAGAACGCGAAGCAGTTCTACTTGGACCATGCTACTGCAGTGGCAGAGAAGCGGTACCGCAACTTTGAAACCGACAATGATGACCCAGTGGATGTCTTCAGCAACAACTCCGACATGGATGATGTGTCCTCCTCCGACGGGAGCCGCATCCTGCCAGCGGAGCTGACCACCGAGGGTCACGCCTTGGGTACTGTGGTGTCGGAGTCGTGCGGCCTTTCTGATGTTTACCCTAAGTCCAAATTCCCGGAGTCCCGCATTGATGCCTACTTGTTTACTCCCTGCGGATTCTCGGCCAATGGTGTGATCCCATCGCCCGACCAGACCACTGGCACTCACTACTTCACGGTGCACGTTACGCCTGAGCCGCAGTGCTCGTATGCGTCGTTTGAGACCAACGTGCCTCACTCGCAGAACGGACAGACCACTGCGGGGATCATCCAACAGGTGGTGAACATCTTCAAGCCGGGCCGGTTTACCGTGACCTTGTTCGAGGCCAAGCCCGAGTTGCCCGTGGTTGAGGGCGAGTGGGACAGTATCAAGGAGGCCAAGTACTTTGAGCGACAGCTGCTGCGCCGCACCTCCAAGATGGAGCATGTGGAGGGATACCGGCGAGTGGACCGGATTGTGCATGACCTGGACGGATATGACCTGGTGTTCCGCTACTACGAACGTCTTGATTGGAAAGGGGGGGCCCCCAGGCTCGGAGAAGAGCGCGTTTGAGAGCGAAGCCATGTGTCCGTTCGTGTAGGTCATGAAGGATGACTTGGGTGGTGGAACAGGGAGATTGTGTTCTTGCTTTGATGTGCATTCCGACCTACCTTCAGGTCCTTTAATGTCGGTATTCTGTGCTTGCCTATGCTTCTAGCGATTTGAGTTGCGTTGTGTTCCCAGCATCAGTTCATCGAGTCCTTTATTATCCGTTGAGCGCGGTGGTGTGCCACCTGTGCGTTAGGCCTTGAGTTTCCCTCACCAGTTTGAACATGATGATTGAATCTATACTTGCATTCATTCGTAGAAGATGCGCGGGTCGTAGCCTACGACATCAGAAGTAAGCCAAAGGTGAGGTAGAAATAAGCAGTGGCCCTAAAAAGAGGATTGCGTACGCATCGTGGATCGGCAGAGTTGCCGAATGGGGGCGGGAGGGACCCTCCGATAAGGGAAGGTCGGCTTTCCGTCACTTCTTTCTGTCGCAACACTTCGACCCTCACTCAAAACCTTTAATCCATTCACTCACCCACACCCATCTCTCCGTGCACAAAGTATTCTTCTTGTGCATGAATGTTTAATGAGATCAATCTATGATACGCACCCATTCGAGGCTGCAGCTTGTATCGGGCCAAATTCTGCGACCGTCGCCATCTGAGGCTTGAACATAACGAAACCTGTTTCCCCCCTCGAACACTGCAGCAGCAACAGCGGCAGCAGCGACAAACCCAAAACAACACCCCTACCTCCTCCCCATCATCACCATCCACCATAGAGACAATCATGTCCTCCCCGCCGCCCACGAACCCGTTGAAACGGCCCTCGATCTCCTCGTCGGCCTCGCAGCCGGCGGGCTTCAACCCTAAGCGGCCCCGCATGCACCCGCTCCGCCAGACCTCCTTCCCCAACACGATGGACCTGGACTCGTCGTCGCGGGCCTACAGCGACGCCGGCAGCGTCACGGGCAGCTTCACGGGCAGCCTGGGCGGCACCAGTGCGGACGGGGTGTTCCTGACGACCAAGGGCAAGAAACGCGGGCGCAAGAGCAAGGCCGAGAAGGAGCGCGAGCAGCGCGCCGAGGAAGGGAGTCTACGGGCGGGGATGATGGATCGGATGGGGTCCGTGGATGCGGAGGGCGCCTCGGTGAGGGCCGGTGCTGGGGGAGGTACAGGGCAAGGAGGAGGAGGAGGCGGAGGAGGCGGGGATGATGCTGATGAGGATGATGATTTTGATGATGAGGGTGAACTACTGGGTAGGGAGGAAGGGACCACGGATACGGAGGCGGAGAAGAAGAATCTTGCGTATGTTTGACACCTTTCCTTTCCTTTCCTTTACTTGGGTTTCCCCTCCTCCCCTGATTGCGTGGTGTAGTTTGTGGTGATGGTCGAAAAGTCAAAGGAAGGAGAAAAAAAAAAGCAAGCAAGAGTGGAAGGAAGGGTGAAACAGTCCACGAAAGACAGAAGGAAAAGAAACGAAACGAAGAGAATCCCAAACTAACCAGAGTGGTGGGCGGCTGGACCGAACAGATTACTCGTGGACGCGTTTAATCCGCTGCAGTCGGAGCGATACGATCTGTTCAAGCGAGCGAAGCTACGAAAGGAGACGCTACGGAGAATTGTCAATCATGCGCTCTCGCAATCGGTGCCGGCTAGCGTGGTGACGACGATTAACGGATTTACGAAGGTGTTTGCGGGCGAGATTATCGAAAAGGCTCGAACGGTGCAGGCGGAATGGGCCGAAGCCCATGACCAGGCGGCCTTAGCTGCTGTGGCAGCCTCCAGTTCCACCTCGACCACCTCGACCACCCCAACCACGACGAACCATCATCTCGGAGTGGTCAAGCCACAGGGCATGATAGATAGAGGCGGACCACTGCTGACGACGACTGCTGCCAAAAGCGAAATGAAGGCCAAATTACCTCCCAATCCGCACCGGGGGCAGCTCCTTCCGGCCCATTTGAGGGAAGCGCTTCGGCGGTATAAGCGAGATGGGGAAGGAGGTGGCGTTGGATTCTCCGGATTGAGTATGGGCAATCTGGGGGTTCGGGGGTCGGTGACTTGGGCTGCAGGTAGCGTCGGAGGACGGCGCATCTTTCGTTGAGTGTTGACGAGGTTTGACGAGGTTTGACGAGAGTCGGCCAAGACCCAAGACATTTAGGGACTGAAGGACTGAATCATGAAGAGGAATGGATTTTGGTCAGGTGGGGGGTTTTGAGGTTAGAAAGAGTAAAGAGAGGGCCCCTCGGAAATTGGGAGAGGGAATGGGAGAGGGCGAGGGTCAAAGTGCCAAGAAAAAAGAGACCCATCAATCATCCCTACCGTGGATACCGTGGATAAACCCTCTGTCTGTCAGTGTCAAGTGAGTGAGTGAGTGTACGCCCGCCGTACGGTACTCCCTGTTTTCTTTTCTTTTCTTTTCTTTTCCGACCATCCAAATTTTTCTTCTCCCACCTGCCTGCCACCTATCGAAAAAGCGCAGAATGGTGACAGGTCGAAGATGGCGATGTTTTAGACTAATAATACGCGTTTGTCTCCATTATAGTGAGAATGGGTTTCAATGGAGGCTTGATAGTCATTGATCAACGCAACGCAACGCAACGGCAAAAGAGGGGGGCTATAATTAGTTGTTTTCTGGATGATTATTATTTTTCTTTTTGCATTGTGCATGCAAGAAGGCGAATAAGGCGAATAAGAGGAATAAGAGGGCCACGCAAGTGTATTAATGGCATCATAGGGCTCGGCATGGCGCAATTTAGCCAGCCAAGAATGGCCAATCTCTTGTCGTCCGCCCCTGGAAAGTGTGCCAGGAGTGCCAGGAGTGGCAGAGAGTAAGTTACTAGTAGTCCCTCTCAGTCCCTGAGCCTTACGGGTTTCGGCTGGAAGGCTTGGCAGCTCCCTTTTCGGGGCTACTCCAATTCCATCTGGTATTACTGATAAATCGGGCATATGAACGACCCGCCCTACTATCTAACTATTCTGTACTGTACGAGTACGGAGTAGTGCTCACACTCACACTCACACTCACACTCACAGTCTTTACAGTACTTACGGAGTACTCACTCACTCACTCACTCACTCACTTACTCACTCACTACACCTGCTGCTGCTGCTGTTGCTGCTGTTGCTGCTACCGCTGCCGCCGCCGCTCTTACTGTTACTGTCCCTTCCTTTCCTACCTTCCTTCTTTCCCCTTCCTTCCTTCCTTCTTCCCCTCTTCCTCTTCCTCTTCTTCTATTCACTTCTCCTTCTCTTGTCATTCCTTCCTTCCATCTCTTCTACTCACTTACTTACTCACCTCATCCTGCTTCTCCTTCTTCTTACCTCGGCTGTTGGTTGTATCTATGAATGGCTCGCTTGCGTGCCAACTCCAGCCTGTCTTTCTTTGCTCTGTGAATATACATTAGACCCATATTACAATCCTCCTTCATTTCCAGCATGCAGTCATTACAGAAGTCCGGCATTTACACTCGCCTACGGGATACTTTATGGAATCCCAACGCTCCCCCCGGAGACCCTCGCAAAAGTGTCAAGTGGATCGATGTAGGCCCTCCCTCGTGCTCGTCTGTCTACGGCCACGCCTCGTGGGCAACACAACAACAGCACTAACATACTGACCGGACTGGCTAGGGTCTTCGCGGGATTGCTTCTTTCCTCGTTGTTCTCACCCACCTGGCCCGCGCCTGGGACTATGATCTCTTCGCGCCAAGAGACAAGGAGGGAGTGCCTCCCCGGGTCCTCCAGTGGCCCATCCTCCGCATCCCATGGCAGGGACGACTCGGAGTCACCATCTTCGCTTTCCTCACCGGCTATGTGTGTGCCTTGAAGCCGTTGAAGTTGTCGCGGGCAGGTAATCACCTCAGTGCGTTTTCGACCATTGCCAAGAGCGCCTTCCGCCGCCCTCCGCGCTTAATCTTCCCAGCCACCATTGCCCTGTTTATCTCGTGGGTCATGGCCCAATTCGGTGCCTTTATTGTCGCCAACCGCTCCGACTGCTGGTGGTGTCGATATGCCGCCCCGGATTTGGAAGATTCGTTCTTCAAGGAGGTCATTCGCCTGGGAGGGAACTTCCTCAGCACCTGGACCACCGGGTACATGGCCTACGATGACCACCAATGGGCGTTGCTGCCGTTGCTGAAGGCGTCCATGCTCGTCTATGTCCTGCTCTGCGCCACCATGTACGTCCAGTTCCGGTTTCGCATTGCCATCTATATAGGCATGATGCTATACTTCCACCAGGACGCCGCCAAGGATACTGGTAAGCTCCACACCCCGGTTTCCAAACTTCGGCCCCTCGCCTCCTCACTAACTCGCCACCCCCTGGGTAGAAACCTTCCAACTCCAAGCCGTCTATGGCATGCTCCTCAGTGATATGTCTTACGACACCACCTTCCGCTCCCTCGTCGAGGCCCACCGCTGGCCGCGCCGCATCCTCGCCATCGTGATCACTATCGCCGGTCTCTTGATTTGCTCCTATCCCGGCGAGCACCCCGAATGGGCTACCTGGTCCGACTACATGTTCAAGCTGGCCCACTACATCTTCCCTCCCGAAGTCAACATTGGCAAGCGGTACAGTGCCATCGGCGTGGACATGATCATCTTCGCCATCTTCATCTCACCCGGGACGCAGTCCTTCCTGGCGAACCGCCTCCTCCTCTGGCTCGGCAAGCAGAGTTTCGCCGTCTACCTCGTCCACGGCACTCTCCTGCGCACTGTTCTGTGCTGGATGCTCTACGGCATCACCGGCCAACCATGGGAGGAGACTGTCGACGAGAACGGCCAGACTGTCCTCCCCCCGTGGTTGCCCATCCGCCCTCCCTGGGTCGTTGCCCTCTGTATCCCGCTCTGGATCGGGCTGGTTTACATTTGCGCCTCCCTGTGGACTGCCTACGTTGACCCTCTCTGCGCGCGCCTCACGGCGTGGATCGAGAAGAAGGTCTTTGACGAACAAGAAGAGAAGGCCTCTGAGCTGCCGATGCAGTTGCGACCGATGCCTACCACTTAATCCAGAGGCCTACCATGAGGAGGCGGTTTCCCGGGTTTTTCTGAATTAAAGAGCAGCATGTGAAGATAGGACTTCTTTCTGGCTGGTCCAGGTCCTTGGGGTGTTTTGTCCATAGCCATCTTTTGATATATATAAATATGTATTTCGCTTCTTTTTTATTCTTGGGTCTGGCAGGTTTGGGATGGTGGGAAAGGTGGTGGGGACATTTGGAGATGGATGGAGTACTTGACATATACCTCGCATCCTCAGGTTCACATGTACTCATAACTTTGGGGTAGTCAAATGCACTCCTATTCGTACCCTGCTGTGCCTATGTAAGAAGATTTCCTTGCTTATGTCCGAGGAAGGTGAAATTAATGGGTAATTCAAGTAGCCCACTGATTGTGCAGGGCTGGAGTATATACAGATGTAGTCTAGTTCAATACAGGACTGACACGAGCACTCTTAAAGAACCACATATCGTCCAACGAGACTTCTTCTGCTTCATCTTCCTCCTTGGCAATAGTCTCCAGGGGCCAGGCAATACTCTGTGCGGGTTTTGGGATCTCCTCGAGAATCAATCCGCACGGCTAGAAGGATATACAAGATGGATTGATATACATGAGAATATACATGCACACATGCGTATATATACAGAAATTATATACATAAGTACTAAAGTAATGATCAACATCCTACAAATGACTAAATCTCCTTTCCATTTTGTGTTCCCTTCCCCTTCCCCCTCCCCCGCCACCCTGATAACCTACTCCGGCGGCAGGGGGGAGGGGAAGGGAAGGGAAGGGAAGGGAAGGGAAGGGAAGGTATTGTAGTATCAAAGCCGCATGCCGATCTGGTCTGGTCCATCTGTCTGGGGATGAGTAGTGAACTTAATGTGACGTGATGGAGGGGAGTCACGAACCTTTTTTTTTGTTTATATATATAAATACCTGTATGTTCAGGGCGAGGCTGAGCCAGCGTTTAAGTTTGAGATTCATTTGGTGATGCTGATTCTGACCCGTGATGGCCGACGGCCGACCTTCCGTGGTGCGGTTGGACCAAGGCTGGGAATTTTGAAATCTGGAAGTTTGGGCTGTTCCCAGCCTTGGTCCAGTCAGGGCCTAGCCTGAGGAAGGGAGTGAGGTTGCCCTATATCTTACATATAGGGTTGAGTTGAGTTGAGTTGAGTTGAGTTGAGTAAAGATGCTTGTGCTGATGCTGCTTGGTGATGGCATGGCCGGGTCTGTGGGGATGATATTAGTGATTAGTGGATTGGGGGAGTGGGTAGCTTGACGGACTTTTTGTATATATATATATATATATTATGTGTTGTGTATATGTTTGCATAGGCCGAGATTGGCCAGTGATTAAGTTTGCAATTGAGATTTATTTGGTGATGCTGTCGACCAATTGATTCTCACGGCCGACCTTCCGTAGTGCGGCTGGACCAAGGCTGGGAATTTTTGGGAAGTTTGGATACTTTGGGCGGTTCCCAGCCTTGGTCCAGCCAGGGCCTAGCTTGAGGAAGGGAGTGAGCTTGTCCTCTAGAAAGAGGGTTAATCTGTGTAGGCGGAGGTGTTAGCTGCGAGGTTGATCTGGTTGCTGGGCTCATACATGGAGAGAAGACAGGAGACGAGAAGGAGACAGGAGACACGGTGCGAAAGAAGTTGATGGATCAGGACTTACTAGGGTGTTGAACCCTTTCCCTTCATCCTGAAGGATGGGAGAAGGACTTGGTATTGTGGGTGGCTAGAGCGGGAGCTATTCCTGCTAGAGCCAGCTCGTGGTTGAAGCTGTGTCTCAAGGATTAGCTTGGGGGTTGAGCTGTGGGATGGAGGAGGGATAATGGCCAGAAGACAGGTCTTTTGCTATACACGTACCAGGTCTCGAGAGCGGTTTCTTCGAGGGACCGCATACTGAACTCTAAGAGGTCTTGCAAGTCAGACCTAGAGTATGGATCTGAAGTGTGTTGTTGGTTCACCACCAAAGGACACCATGAAAGGATATTCACGAGAAAGAGATAGCTACAGGGGGTGATGAAAGAGAGAAAAGAAAAAAAGGAGCAACACGAACAACACCAGCTCACGACAACAACGACATCATAGGGCTCCGCTTCTAGGCAACGGTCGACCCCAGTGCTGCATCGCATCGTCGCCGACTAAGCGACACAGACGGGCTCACTGGCCATATTGAATGAGAGTGCATGGGATCAGAAACATGCGTCCTTTCTCACCTTTTCACTTCATGCCGGCCGCTTCTCTGATCCCGAAGCAGACGCAGGCGATTCTTGTTCTAACTGCAGGACCTGTTTTCGTTCAAGGGATCTATACTGATAGCTGATACCACCAGTTAGAACACTGATACACCAGCCACAACACTGATAAACAGGCCGGAACATGAGCCCCCCCGAGATAAACCAGCAGACCGAGCTGCCAATCCGCTTGAAGCCGGCACACACTCGAAGCGTTACGTTGGCGCGCCAGGATCATCGACATCTCGCGAGTGCCGGCATCTTGCATCACCCCGAATATCGCTACGACCGGGTCCTTCACATTCAAGATAAATCCCTCCCCAGCGTCGGGCTTCTGGCCATGAGACCCCGTCACAGACCCACGGAAGAGCCACCCCCGGCCGATCTATCCAGCGCCGTCGTGTTCGTTGTCACAGGTAAGTTCTGCGGGAATTTGACTTAGGGCTCGGGCTCGGGCTCGGGCTCGGGCTCGAATTGTGAAACTGATATGCGGCCAACGCAGGAGCGCCCGGCGCCGGCAAGACCACCGTCGCCGTCGACCTGGCCAAGGACGAAGAGCTCGGCTACCTGGAAATCGACGCCCTCGTCCAGCAAGAGGAGCGCAGGCTGGGGTTCCGTCTTTCGAAACCGGTCCCCGACGGCGAGGGCGAGCACAAGATCGTTCCGAGCGCCGTGCTCTTCAGCCTCATCAAGCAGGAGATCGCGGAGCAGATGGCCGCCGACGTGTACGAGTTCGTCATCGACGGCCTCGTCATGATGCCGGCGGCGCATGACTTCTTGGATCGAGTAGGGTTCACCACCCCACAGGACCGGAGCTTGTGCTAACGGGTGGTGGGTGTGTAGTGCTTCAACTTCCAGCACACCCTGCTGCTGCACGCCGACTCCAAGATCCGCTTCTCCCGCTGGTCGTATCGGCGCTCGATGCTGAATGGGCCTCGCATCTCCCGTGCACAGTACGACCGTGCCCGCCACAAGTTCTTCCGGAATTCGCAGCCCTTCCTGGTCGCCGATAGGGTTTACCTCTCCGAAGCGCATCAGGGCCTCACGGAGTCCACACGGATGGTAGGTGTGGAAGCAATCGGGTTTTTGGAAAGAAGATCAGATGACTGATGATAATGCGGCCATCGTCTTAGTTTGACACGGGTGAAATGCCTCAAATGTATTGGTATCCTAGCCTTCGTCGTTGCGTTCAAGTGAGTTTCTTGCCCCAAGCTCAGAGACGTGGTACTGATCCTTTGGTAGCAGGTGCTTATTCATCAAGCAGGGAGATACCTCGATGCCATGATTGAGGCGGAGAATTGAGGCACCGGGCGAGGTTCAGGGTCAGAAGCGAGACGTGTAGTGTGTGATGACTGACGTTGTTCCTCACTGCTTATTGATCTAGTCCTTTGGAACTTCTGGCTGTATTGGACTGCAGTATAGCTGTGCCTGTTTGTATTTGCGACGAGGCGGATGGTGCAAAAGAAAGGAAGGAGATTAAAGAAGTGTTGTTAGTGATGGACTTCAACTGAGTTAAATCCCCGGTGCTGACAAAGCCCAGACACTGAGTCCCAACCGTGAGGAAACTATGGACAAGATCATTGCAGATCCCAAATCCCAATGCATTCTTAATAAACAAGGTTGGAAGCACATGGTAATCATGCAGATGATGAAATGAAAGAAAATGAGAATGAAAATCGAACAAAGCACCCATAATATACAGAGAAATACAACTCCCAAAAGTCCACTCCAGCTAGCTGATCATGTCCAGTCCGCATCCTTTCTGGTGCAGGGTCTAGTGTGTGGAATTCATCGCTTCATCGTTGAACGGGCCTGCTGGCGCTGCTGCTCCAACAGCCTCATGTGCGCCTCGCGGCGGGCCCGGTTGCGCTCCTCGCGCTTATACTCCTCCTCTTCCTTTCTCCGCCTCTCGTAGTCCTCCGCCGTCTTGCGGTCCTTCTCGCTCAACCGCGGGGGCTGCGCCACCGATCCGTCCTCGTTCAGCTTGGGTCCCGTGCCACGGATCTCGTCGATCTTGCTGCTTGCCTCCTGCTTGATTTTGTCCTTGGACTGCTTGAAGTTTTGAATCGCACGGTCGATATAGCTCACCTGCTGCTCCGGAGCACGGGCAGCGGCAGCGGCGGCGGCGGCGGCTTCCCGCTGCTTAGCAGTTTCAGCCTCCATCATCTCACGGAGCATGCGAATGGGGTTCTTCTGCTCTTGGCCGGGAGCCAGCTCAACCTTTTCCACCTGGGCGATCCCGGCCCATTGGCGGAAAGCAGGCTTGGAAAGCAGGTACGCCTGGGTCATACCAACGAGACCGGTGCTCGTGAAGTACAGCTGCAGAGCCGCAGGGAAAAAGGCCATGAACATGAAGGAAATGGCAGGAAGGCCGTACTGCACCGCCCTTCCAATCTCGGTGTTCTGCATGGCGTTGCCTCCAGACTCTCCTCCTTTCTGTTGCGGGAGGCCGCGGTTAGCAAGCGTGCCTCGGTCCAGGAGCGGAATGGGAGACAAGAACGAGTCATCGAAAGGTGGCAGCACATACCTTGAGGGAGAAGTACAAGAAGAAGGAGCTGACGGCGGGCAGGATGTAGAGGGGGTCGGCAATTGTAAGATCCTGGAGCCAACCAACATGCTCCGAGGTTAAAGCGGGCACCGGCAAGGAAGTCATGCCTTTGATTACCCGGTAGCACCCAAAGCCGAGGGGAATCTGGATCATGGGAATCATTGCCTTCCAAGGCTGGATGCCGTGCTTGGTGTGCAGCTCCTGCATGTCGGCCCGGGCCTTGTTCATCTCGAGCATGTTGCTCTCACGCGAGGCGGCCATCTGCTTGGCCCGGATCGGGGTCGTGAGGTGTTTGATGTTGTTGAGCTTGGTCGTGGCATTGGCAGCCTCGAGCGTGGGCTTCACCATGGCCAGACGGACCAGCAAACCAGTGCCGATAATACTCGCCCACCACGGGAGTCCCGAGTAGATGTGAACATGCTCGATGATCCATTCTATTGTCGAGGAGAAACCCCAGCCGTAGTCCAACCCCAATTCTTTCAGGTAGCCAATCTTCTCCGGGATCGTCGTGATGTCAATCTCCACCAAGTCTGGCACGGCCTCAACAACTTCGGGAGTAGGGACGACGGTAAGAGCGTCTGCGGGGGCGGCCGTGGTCGAATTGAAACGAGCAGCGGAGATAGCAGGGATGGCGGACGCAGACCGCAGCGAGGAAGTCTTAGCCATGGGCCGGCTGGACGCTCCATAGCGAAGAGCGTTTCTGGAGGCTTGCGGCCGGAATGAGGACATCTAGAGGACCGAGTTAGTTAAACTGGGGGAGTTGGGGAAATTAGAGCGAAGGCGTAAATAAACTCACCGATCGACTAGAGCGCGAGAAAGCAAGCAATCGCTGGCGGGCAGTGGCAGGCATAGCGCCGCGGCCAGCAAGACCAGTTCCTCCCAACATGGTTGTTGAATTGAAATGCCGAGTTGGGGACTGGAGAGGAGACAATCGGAGGGAGTGACTGGACTGAGGGACACCTGAATGGGAAAATCGGGGCTCCGGCGACGGAGCGCTTTTTTGTTGCCAAGCCGTGTTTTTCTGCCGGGCGGCCGGAGGAGAAGAGGGCCAAGTGACCCAGCATCGTTGGCGGACAACCTGGTCTAGGATCAGAGCAACATTGACCAACTATTATGTATCATGTAGCTATACTTGGTGTTGAGGGGTGAGTCCACAGTATTCGTATTGATCATTTCATTCTCTTTGTGAAGAATATGCTACAGATTTGTCAAATGTATGAGCTTCGCCGGACGCCGTTAGGTCAAGCCTATCAACTGATGCTTAGATCTATGTACAGTAGAACTTCTCAACAAACGCGCGCATCCTGCGCTGCTTGCTTTAACAGATGAACTGCGCTCGGGAGACGGCTCCCTAGCCTACCCTGATGACCGCTTCACCGGTTTTAAGGATCTATAATGCTGCCTTCCCCAATCATCATCTACTCCAAGGACGTGGTGTCTTGCAGACCAGCAGCTCTAGTGCTCCGTCGCTGCGGGAGCTCGCGCACTTCAATGCCAGGTCCAGCTGGTCTAGGTCGTCGATGCATAGGGAACACCTGCAATGATCGCGGGGTTAGCACATCTGCCGGTCAACATCGTGGAGAGGAGCAGGTCCGCCCCTGCCTCCCACGACAGGGGTCCACGCCTTCATACCTTTGTGCCGGACCAGCCTAGCCTGTAGGCAGCCTCATGTGCAAACAACTCGCCAAATCCCAACATCAAGCCGTTCACGAAAGGAAGCACCAGGTTGATCGCGGCGCCGCGCAGAATGCTCCAGAACGTCGGGGGCTTGTAGAGGATCAGAGGGGAGCTCGAAGTGGAAGAGGAATGCGAGGAGTCATCGTGGTTGGCGGAATAAACTTCGGAGTCCGAGTGGACAGTCAGTCCAGATTCGTAGAGCTCCCCGGAGTTGGAGAGGTCGGCGGCCATGATGCGGGGAGGGAGCAAGGTATATCAAACGGGGGGTATCTTAGGAGGGAAATATGGGAGGGCTGAGGTTTGTCCAAAACAATGATCTGCTCGCAGAAGTCAAATCAGTGGTTTCCGGTGGAGATGAAGGCCGACAAATCAACAGCCGAAGTGGACGGGGGTAGCTTGTAAGGTATCTTGTTGAGGTTGTTCAACGAGTGGATGGAATGAATGCTCCAATACACCTGACCTGCGCGGCGGTTATGTAAGCCGCAGAGCTGCTCACTCGTCAGTTGCGCAACGCCCAGCACCGATGCGTGTGAAACTGCCAAGGGAGTACATGATGCTTTGAGAATGGGAACTGGTAGTCTATAAGCTACACATAGTATATAAGGTGCATGGTACTTCTACATGGCCGAGTTGACTGCGGAAGACAGTATAGTTATAGCTATCAAGACTGCTGACTGTTTCTGCCTGAGGCTTCAATGTGGAATCGATGAATAGACGGAAGATCCCCTTTTCCGGATGACCAATCAGGCAACAGTGACGTACCTCAGCTTGTCAGCTTGTCCTCATTGTTGTTTCCAGCTTCAACTAGGTATAGTAAAGCTACTACCAGTTGTATCCACTAGATCTCCTTCCTTGTTCCCAAGGCGCCTCCCGCCAACTATCACCTCTTTTGCATACTCCTGAAAATATCTGGACGATACTCTGTTTTAAGTGAACGAGTGACTTCATTCTCAAACCAATTTTCTCCGGCGCCAGCGACCTTTGCAGTCCCGGTTATATCATCAACATGGAGCACCAAGCAGCTCACGATGAGCTAGTATCCCAGTTCTGTGCTATGTCTGGCACTGATGCCGCAGTAGTATGCTTGTCCCTGAATTTTAGAGGAACTGGACTCCACACTAATGTCTACTTCTTACAGGCTCAAGAATACCTGGCGGCCAGCGAATGGGACCTCGAAGCCGCAGTGACCGAGTTCTTTGCCGAGCAGGACGAAGCTATGCAGGGCGCAAACACAGGCTCAGGGCAGCGCCTAGGAGCGGAAACGGGGCCAGTCGCCGGTCGCACACTCGGTGGGAGTTCATCCCAGTCTCCATCCACTACCCCGCAGCCGTCCTCGTCGCGCAGGACCGGACCGAAGAAGAGATTCGCGACGTTGGGCGATTTTGCCTCCGGGGCTGGTGAATCCTCGGAGGAGGAGGACTCCGTGAACCAGGATTTCTTCGCGGGAGGGGAAAAGTCTGGCCTCGCCGTGCAAAACCCGGACGACATCAAGAAGAAGATTATCGAGAAGGCCAAGAGGTGAAACCTGCCACCGGTAGCATGCCCAGAAGGAGGCTAACACTGTAGTAGAACCCAGCCGCCCTCCTCGGATGAACCAAGCAGACAGTCGCACTTCACGGGCACAGCACGTACCCTCGGTGGCGATGATGCTCCGAGCAGGGTAATCGAAGCCCCGAGCGCGCCCGCTACGCAAGTGCCGCAACGAGTCCAGAGAACGCTTCATTTCTGGGCCGACGGATTCTCCGTCGACGATGGCGAGCTGTACCGCTCCGATGACCCCCGGAACGCAGAGATCTTGGAGGGGATCCGACAGGGTCGTGCTCCTCTCTCGATCATGAACGTACAGTCTGGCCAAGAGGTGGACGTGGAAATCAACCAGCACGAGGAAAAATACGTCAAGCCAAAGCCCAAGTACAAACCCTTTTCTGGCCAGGGGCAGCGACTGGGAAGCCCTACGCCTGGCGTGTCGACCTCTGCCGCGGCCCCAGCCCCAGCTCCAGCTCCAGCAAGTCAGGCCTCAGAGCCACCTAAGCCTACTGTCGATGAATCTCAGCCCACCATCACCCTGCAAATCCGCCTTGGCGATGGCACACGACTCACGTCTCGCTTCAACACTACCCACACGATTGGGGATGTCTACGAATTTGTGTCTGCGTCCAGCCCCGCTAGCCAGTCCCGCCCGTGGGTCTTGATGACTACGTTCCCCAGCAAGGATCTTACGGACAAGGGTGCTGTCCTGGGGGAAATGGCCGACTTCAAGAGGGGCGGCGTTGTGGTGCAGAAGTGGCAATGAGCGTGCAATGAGGCCGTGGACTAGAAGTTATGCAATGAGCCAGGCGTAGATAGTCTCTGGAGGTCTAAAACTAAGAAATGAGATGAGATGATTCATGAACAATGGGGATGATCTAATGATTCCGTGTATTACTGAAGGTCAGATGAAAGCGGAATTTAAAAACTCCCGACCTTCGTAATAAATAAGAGCAAATTGCGAAGCTGAAGCTGAACCCGAGTATCTTTTCCGGCGTTCCTGTCGCCAAGCCCGATTGATAAGCAACCTCCGCGGAATGACGCAGAAAAAAAACGCGCCCGAAATCGGCCATCGCCATCAATTCCATTCATTCCCCCACCCGCTAAACAGACTGTCTGCTCCTCCATTGATTCTCCGTCTATTCAGTAGAAAACAAGAAGATGCCTCTGGACGGAGTTAAGAACGTGGTGCTGGTGAGAGAACTTCCAATCCCTGTGCCTTTGCTGGAATATTTGCCCCTCCTCCTCTTATCGATAACGCGCAGTGGAGGGTCATACTCCAGCATACTCCAGCACACGCACCTGCGAACCTACTACACCCTCACTCCAGAAATCCCGCCCTCAACAACCCCAGCTTCCTGCGAGGATATGCGACTAACATCTCTGATCGGGAACAGGTCCTCTCCGGCAAAGGCGGCGTCGGCAAATCCTCCGTGACGCTGCAGCTGGCCCTGGCGCTCTCCCTGCAGGGCAAATCCGTGGGGATCCTCGACATCGACCTCACGGGGCCCTCGATCCCGCGCTTAGTCGGCCTGGAAGATGCAAAGATCACGCAAGCGCCCGGCGGCTGGCTGCCTGTTCCCGTGCATACCGCTGTAGATGCACCAGCCTCAGCATCGTCATCGCCACCTTCTCCTACCCCTACCACCACAACGACACCCGCTCAAGACCACCACCGAGAACCCACCACATCCACCCCCTCAAAGACCTCCTCCCCCTCCACCCCCCGCGGCCCACTACACTGCATGTCCCTCGGCTTCCTGCTACGCTCCCGCTCCGACGCCGTCATCTGGCGCGGCCCCAAGAAAACCGCCATGATCCGACAATTCCTCTCGGACGTCCTCTGGGGGGAGACCGACTATTTGCTGGTCGACACCCCGCCCGGCACGAGCGACGAGCACATCGCCCTCGCCGAGCAGCTCCTCACGCTGTGCAGCACCGGCCCTACCTCACCCTCCTCCGCCCCTCAATCCCCAGCGACGCAGGCAACGCCCCCCCGCCTCGCCGGCGCCATCCTCGTAACCACCCCGCAGGCCATCGCCACCTCCGACGTGCGCAAGGAAGTCAACTTCTGCGTCAAGACGCAGATCCCCACGCTCGGCGTCATCGAGAATATGTCCGGGTATACGTGTCCGTGCTGTGGGGAGGTGACGAATCTGTTTTCGAGCGGGGGCGGGGAGGTTATGGCGAGGGAGATGGGGGTCAGGTTTCTGGGGAGCGTGCCGGTGGATGTTGGGTTTGGGGCGTTGGTGGAGGGGAGGGGGATTGGGGCGGATGGGGAGGGGAGTGATCAGGAGGAGGATGCGGAGGAGGAACAGGAAAAGGAAAAGGAAAAGGTGGATGATGATCGGCCTTTGGTTGAGAAGTATCAGGAGGGGTGGTCGTATGCTCGGTTTGAGGGGTTTGCGAGGACGTTGATTGCGGAGATTGAGGGGTAGAATTCCTTTGTGGGCTTGGGGTTTGGGTTCTATAAACTTGTGAGGTGAGAAGTATATAGGTGGATGCATTTATCTTGTTCATGTTCATATATGATGTCCTTGTGTGTGTACGGTGGGAACGATACCATGGTTTCTGAGTTTGAGAAGACTGTCGGGGAGATTCGGTCTAGAATTGAAGATTGTCTGCATGTGCATGTGCATGTGCATGTGCATTTGAACTTGTATCCCAAAGGTTGGGACTTGCATATTGGATTGGAGTCATGAAATAGCATACAGTCGTATATCATCAATCATAGACAGAAAAACAGATCATTCAGTCATCATGGCCGTGGGCTGGCCGCTCCAGCATTGCCCGCAGCCTCATTTCTGCTGTCACCGGACTACGTCCATACTCGGCATCGTTCATGATATACCGGAGCCAGCCGAAGAGGCTCCGCATATCGACCATCGAGGACGGTCGGGGTGTCCCCGAAAGGTGGTCTTCGCCAGCTTGCGCGGTTCCTACATTGCTCGTACTGAGCGGCCGACTGCGACGGGATGCCTCGGGAGGATAGTGGCTCTCGGCCTGCGCGTCCAGCAATGTCTCCGACACCAGTGCCGGTGTAATCATCTCGTAGGTCCGGCGTCGGGCGTCGTTCTTCACCTTCCTCCCCAGGAGACCTCGGCCACTGGCGCTCGACTTGGACGCGATCTCCCTGGTGGTCAGAAGCAAGTCAACCCCAGTGTCGCCATGCGCCGACTGCAAGGCTGCCGAGGATCGTGGGGTCGTGGGCTGAACCTGCAGCGATGCGCTGTCCGCGGGTAAGGACATTCTCGAGTGAGACCCCGTCCTCGTTGTCGTCGTCGTCGTCGCCTGTCGGAGTTGGCCCCAGTACCGAAAGGGCGGAGCGGAGTGGAAATCACGCCCGTCGGCAACGCTGTTATCGTCGTCATAGATGACAACGTCGTTGTCGGCCTGTCGCTCGTGGTCGGAGCTTGCTTCATCCACCGTCAACAGGCCGCCGGGCGGAGCGCGGATCTCGCCCAGGGGCGCGATATGGCTCCCGTACTCGTTGGCCAGGCTCAGCTTGCTGCGACCGCAGATCTCGCCGATGGCGTCGAGCGTGTGCCGGATATCGGGCTCGATGGCGCGCAAGATGCCATCGATGCTAAAATCCTCTTCGGAGGGGAGCGCCGGCGCATGAGGGCGGCTGCTCGAGCGCGAAGAGAAGAAGAGGAATGAGCGCCGTGAAGGCATCGTGGCTGCAGTGGATGTCGCATTAGGGCTTTCTCCGGAATATGCTCGCACCAGCACGGGTTGAGACCCTAAGGTGGTGGTGGTGGTGGTGTTGATGGAGGAGGATGGCCGAGAGGTTGCGGGCCGGCCCTTGGCTGATAAGGGCCTGGCATAACCATTCAACTGACGGAGTGCAGTGGCACGATGTGCTCGAGAGGACTCAGCAGTCAGAGACAGGTCATCGTTGCGATAGGGATGATGCGTGGATGGAGAGGGTCGGACAGTCTCGACCACCGCAGACGAGGAGGTATGGGTATGGGTATGGGTATGGGGGTGAATATGCAGAGGGCTGAGCTGCGACCATCGGCGGCGCGGGAAGGAAGACGACGAGGATGACGGGGCAAAAGAAGCACCCGTGTGGGTGAACAGCCTGTCTGAGTGAAGATCCATTGTTCCGGCCAGCCGATGACAAACAAGAATCCCAGCCAGTGTGGATGCAAGGCTAGACTAGAACGTGGACCGAAGGGGAGGAGGGGAGGGGAGGGGAGGGGGAGGAGGGGGACAACAACGAAAAGCGAGGATGACAACACCACCATCACCATCACCCATCACCATCACCACCACCAAAAGCTACACCATCCTCCCCAAGGCGATGATCAACCCCACCTTACGGTCTCAACGCGCAGCTGAGACGGCGGCAGCGGCAGCGGCAACAGCAACAGCAACAGCAACAGCAACAGCAGTGGCAGTAGCGGGGAGGACACAGATCAACGGCACGAGACACGTAGGTGGTTGTTCCAGCGCATCAGTCACTGGGAACACAACCACGCATGAGCTCCGCGTAACCCTGTGGTGTGGCTGTCTGAGACCATGATCGCCATCGCCATGACTCCCGAGCGTCGGATGACACGCTGATCAATGCGACCAGGCTAGCTTCTGCAAGACCAAGAGAAATGAAGATGGTTATGTACTGTATATACCGTATGTAGGCGTAGATGTAGATGCAGATGTAGATGTACTGTACAGTAAGTAGCAAACGCGGAAGTATAAGGTTGCTCTTCAATCGTATACTCCCTCCGCTTAGAACCACCAACTGGTCAGCATGCCACCACCTGTAACTTACCTCTTAACTACTCCGTAACTACCACCACTAAGTAAAGTAACTTCCGTACCTCTCCACTTCCTTCCCCTCTCTTCACTCTTCCACTCCCTCCCCGACTTCCCCAAAACATTGTTGTTTGTCAACCATCTGTGCGCGTCCTTCAGCCTGGCCTATATCCGACCTTACTTCCAGAATGAACAACTTCCGTGTATGCATGCATCCATCCATTTCCACCCACCTCCCCTCACCCGGGCTGACAATTCCATCTCCGCGGTAGTTTGGCGACTCCGACGAGTCGGCCTCCGATCTCGATGACGATACATCCGGCCTGCCATTCCCGGAACCTCTGTCCCGTGCCTCCTTTCTCGCACCGGATTTCGACCCCGCCACCTACCTCTCCTCATTGACCAACCGACACCAGAGCCTGGAAGACTTGCGACAAGAACTACGGGACCTCGACCAATTGCTCAGCCGGGAGCTGCTCGACCTGGTCAACGAGAACTACCAGGATTTTCTGTCGCTGGGGATCGCACTGCAGGGTGGAGAGGAGAAGGTCGAACAGGTGCGCGTCGGGCTCCTGGCCTTCCAGCGCGATGTGCGGGCGATCCGCGATAAGGTGGAGGCCCGACAGGAGGAGGTCGAAGGGCTGCTGAAAGAGAAGAAGCGGTTGAAGGGTGAGGTCAACGTGGGACGCGCGTTGCTGGACTACGTGGATCGCATCGAGGAGCTGGAGAGGAAACTCATGATCGGAGACGCCGCTCGCCAACCTCGCGCCGACTCCTCCGCTACCGAGGTCGAGTCGGACTCGGACTTTCTGGACAGCGCCAGCGATGATAGTGAGGAGGAACTAACAAACGGGGCTTCGGCAACACCGCTCGTTTCGCTGAAAACGCTCGAGCACCATATCCAGAAGTATTTGTACCTGACGAGGCTGGCGGCCCGGATTGGCGAGGAACATCCCTTCATCCAAGGCCAGCGAACTCGGGCCTCGAAGATTCGATCAGCGCTGCTCCTGGATCTGAAAACGGCCCTGGACCAGGCCAGCCATGCGGGTGACAAGCGAGACAAGAGAACGATGGCTATCTTACGCCTCTACAAGATCATGGGTGAGGACGCCACAGCGGTGTCTGCACTGAAGAACATGAAATCCTAGATTCTCTCTCCCGAGAATAGGAGTGAAGCCACTTGTGCATAGCGTCGGCGTTGGGGAAAAGTCTTATGCTTTGGAGATATATGTCAAACAATACCATTATACACCGTGTCCTGCCTAATGAAACATATTCTGTACACTCGGGATATTCAAGAAACTATATTTATGGGCCATGCATGCTGGTGGTGTCTGGGGTTTGGTCGGACTTGAATTCGCCGTTTAAGCTGAAGCCGGGGCCATTCGTGGAGCTCAACACCTGGAGTTGTGGGTTAGCGACAGGTCCTTGACCGGAGGACTTTTTAAAATGGATGGTCGCTGACTTACCACCTCGTAGATCTCTTTAACTATGCGATCGTTCATGGCGGCGGCATCCTTCTTGATCTGCTCCAGAGCGATACGCATGTTGTCGCGCAATTGCTCCGGGGAGAAACCCAACTGGCCGATGGGAAGACGAATGACGGCAGCACGCTCTCTGTAGGTCGTACCACCACGTAGCATCTCGACCCGGGAGGCCACATCTTCAACCACCGTACCCATCTTTGCGCTGGGCATCAGACCGCGGGGACCCAGGAACCTGCCCAGGCCGGCTTTGCTCAAGGCCTCCATACTGTCCGGATGGGCGATACAGCGATCGAAGGGAATGTTGCCACCCTTCACCGCATCGAAAACCTCCTGTTCTCCGACCAGAACAGCACCCGCATCGCGAGCTTCCTTCTCCTGTCTCGAACCGGGGGGACAGATGACGGCGATTCGAGATTCCGTCGAGATCGAATGGGGCAATCGGAGCATGTTGCGGATGACGGGACCGTCTCGCTTGGACTTCAGGCGGATGTGCAGTTCATACTTGGAGACAGTGGGCTGGCGGCCGACTTCGAAGGCGCGGATATATCTGCAGTCCCCAAAGGTTGAGTGATCAGCGACTGACTTGTCTCTGGGTCGAATGACAATTCCGCGAAGCAGTTTGCACATACCTCATCGCATCGCACAGCGCAAATTGCTCCATATCCTTCAGGTTATGCTGCTTGAATTCCTTGTTCGTGACCTTCTTGCCCTTGACCTTGGCCTTGTCCTTGTTGCTCTTGTAGCCCTGACTCTTGACTCTTTTCACGCTTGCCTTGCTAGCCCATCGCGTCTGCTGAAAAGTGGAAACGACCGAAGCCAAGGGGCCAGGTCGCAGGGCAGATCGACAGGAAGAGACCAATCCCCGTGCCGCAGTGGGCAGCAGTGAGTGCAAGGAAGACATGGCGGCAGGCGTGTTTGAGCCCGGATTCTGAATGAACAAAACGCCCAATGCCAAATGGGAAAGCCGATGTTTTTTGGCCGCCGACGGGAACTCGAGCAAGTTCCGAGTCCGGGCGGCCCTGGAAAGGCGGAGAAACAATACCGCCGGCGGAATCCCGATTGAGTCAAGAAAAGTGCCCCTCTCCGCCCACCCCCGCCTTCTACTTCTTCACTTCTTCCCATCATCCCAATTCTTTTCTCACGAAGAAGCGAAGAAGAGAGATGTCGCAGTTTCAGCTGACTCTGGCCACTCGCGCCAACCCGGCCGCTTTGCTACCTGTCCTTCTGGTTGCCACTTCGCTCAACCAGGAGCAGGAGGTCATTGCTATCAACTACGAAGATAGCGCTGTCTTGAGCAGTGGGGACAAGGCCACCGTCGAACTCACCGGTGCTAACGGTTCGCCTGTCTATGGCTCCGATAATGCGATTAAGGAACTGCGTGCTGCTTTTCCTTTCCTGAACGCCAAGGATGAGAAGTTGGTACGTGGGCTGGATACCGTCCAATTGCACATGGTTCTACGTCTACTAACCACTGCAATGTAGGAGACCGAATGGCTCTCTCAGCTCGAGACTTTCACCACCCTCGACTTCAAGACCCTCGAGCCTCAGCTCCAGCGCCTGAACAACCACTTCCTCCTGCGCTCTTTCGTCGCTGGTTACTCGCTCTCGACCGCCGACCTCGCCATCTGGGGTGCTCTCCGGGCCAACAGGGTTGCCATCTCCCCTGTGCGCAAGGGTGCTCTGGTCAGCCTGACCCGTTGGTTCAACTTCATCGACGAGCTCTGCCCCTGGGCCGCCACTGCCCTCGAGTCCATGAACGCCGTCGCCAAGGAGAAGAAGACCGCCAAGGCCAAGGAGGGAGCCAGCTACGACATCAACCTCCTCAACACTGATAAGGGTGTGGTGACTCGCTTCCCCCCTGAGCCCTCTGGATACCTCCACATCGGACACGCCAAGGCGGCTCTACTGAACGACTACTTCGCCCACGAGAAGTATGCTGGAACCCTGCTGGTGCGTTTCGATGACACCAACCCCTCGAACGAGAAGCTGGAATTCCAGGATGCCATCATCGAGGATCTGGCCCTTATGGGAATCAAGCCGGACAGGCTGAGCTACACCAGTGACTACTTTGACGAGCTCTACGAGTACGCTATCCGCATCATCAAGGAGGGACATGCCTATGCCGATGATACCGACAAGGAGACCATGGCCGAACAAAGAATGGTCGGCGAGCCCAGCAAGCGCCGTGACGCATCGGTCGAAGAGAGTCTTGCTCGCTTCGAGGAGATGAAGCAGGGAACCCCCGAGGGACTGCGGTGGTGCATTCGGGCCAAGATCTCGTATGACGCTCCCAACAAGACGCTTCGTGACCCCGTCATCTACCGATGCAACGTCGCGGAGCACCACCGAACTGGCTCCAAGTGGAAGATCTATCCTACCTACGACTTCGCATGCCCGATCGTTGATTCCAAGGAGGGTGTCACCCACGCCCTGAGAACCATTGAGTACCGTGACCGCAATGCCCAGTACCAGTGGTTCCTGGACACCCTCAAGCTTCGCCATGTGCAGGTCTGGGACTTCGCCCGCATGAACTTCGTGCGGACCCTGCTGTCCAAGAGAAAGCTCACCAAGCTGGTCGAGTCCGGCGCTGTCTGGGGCTGGGATGACCCGCGCTTCCCCACTATCCGGGGTATCCGTCGTCGCGGCATGACGATCCCGGCTCTGCGCGAGTTCATCCTGAAGCAGGGCCCCAGCAAGAACATCGTGAACCTGGACTGGACCCTCTTCTGGGCGACCAACAAGAAGTACATCGACCCCGTTGCTCCGCGCCACACCGCGCTGTTCAAGAACCAGCTGGTCAAGGCCAAGCTGAACGGCGCGCCTGCCGCGTACACCGAGGACAAGCCCAAGCACGCCAAGAACCCGGCGATCGGCACCAAGAAGGTGACCTTCAGCGGCTCGATCCTGTTCGACCAGGAGGACGCCAAGACCTTCAAGCAGGACGAGGAGATCACGCTGATGGCGTGGGGCAACGCGATCGTGCGCAAGATCGAGACCGACGCGGCCACGGGCGTCGTCACCGCCCTGGAGCTCGACCTCCACTTGGCGGGTGACTTTAAGAAGACGGAGAAGAAGGTGACCTGGCTCTCGGCCGACCAGGAGCTCGTCCCCGTCGAGCTGGTCGACTTCGACTTTTTGCTCAACAAGGACACCATGACCGAGGAGGACACCCTCGAGGCCGTCCTGAACCCCCACACCGAGTTCCGGGATGAGGCCGTCGCCGACGCCAACGTTGCCGACCTCAAGGAGGGCGACATCATCCAGTTCGAGCGCAAGGGCTACTACCGTCTCGACCGCCCCTACGCCCCCGGCCAGCCCGCCGTGCTGTTCAACATCCCCACCGGTAAGGCGGGCAAATAGATCCGCTTCCGCTTTTCTGGAGGTATAGACGCCTATGAAGATACAACGAATAAACTTTTCGGATTTATATTGCACTAAAAGACTCGATCAAGTTTCAAGTTTCAAGGTTCTTTTGTTTCTTGTTCTTTCTTGTTCTCTCATTCCAGTTCTCCGTACGTAGACGATCACGGGCCAGTCGTAGTCGTAGTCGTATGGTCCAACCGCGTTCTGGCGGGTGCAGCTCGTCCACAAATCAAGGTGTAGGTAAGCCCTTGACCCAGGACCGAGGAACCCGAGAATCGAATCCATCATCAACCCATCCATAATCATGAGTGGGCTCGGCTCAGGGCTGGCAACTCTGGATTAAGTTAGGTTGGTCGATGGCCCCGGGAGAACTTGATGGCAGGCTCCGTAGATCTGATTCGGTGGATAACCCTACATTGAGTACTCCTAGTAGGTAGTAGTGTATTGGTGAACTGTTTGGCTGCAATTCTGCAATTCCTATTTGCTTATCCAATTAAAGCACCGCCACTTTTATAAGAATAGTATACAAATAATCTGTATATACAATTGTGCTTGTCCATTGCTCCCAATCTCATCCCATGTCCTATCAAAATACATTTTTGGCCAAACCAGCCCCAGTCGCCGTAGCTTGTACTACCGGGATATCTCAACTGGTACGATACCAGGAAGGACCATCCCAAACCCCCACTCCCCCGTCTCTTCTCATTCCAACCCCTCCAATAATCACCATGGCGCAGCAAACTTATGTCACGCAGAATGAGAAAAGTTCTGCAGAACCGCCAAGTCTAATCCAAGAGCCTGTGGAAAACCGTAATGAGAATGACAAGGAGATGGGGCAGCCCAGAGTACGGTAAGGTAAGTGATGACACACAATACAATGAGGACGGAGCCTGGCAAGCGTGATTACGACCGCAAGTAAGCAAGCCATCGGGAAATGGGGGACCCCGACGATGAGTAGTACGGAGTGCCCAAGACGAGCATGACCAGGACCAGAACGGGTGAGGGACAAAAGCACCTGCATCATCGGGCGACTCCCGCGGATGTCGAATTTCAGCCCATGATGGTTGGTGACAGACAGACCTTTTCCCGGAGTGGTTTCTCAAAGATCTAGTGGGTTGAATGGTTGGGACGAGGCTTTGCGTCTAAGCCGCAGACAACACATCAAATGGCGCATTCAAGGTATGATGCCCGAGAAGCCCATTTTCGTCATATTCCCCAGTCAATCAGTGAGGCTGATGCTTAGTACTCTTACCGGGATTCTGTTAAACAGAACCCCCCCCCCCCCCCGGCCCTCTGGTCGGGCAAAGGACAAATCCGCAGCAGCACGAGGCGATGGAATATGTTTTATGATTACGCGCCACTGGCCCTAGACATACAGATGAATACGATACAGGATCATAATGTACTTGCCTTGCTCCGGCCATGCCTTCTGTTAGTTGGTCGCTCCTGATTTATACAATCCTTTTTTTCTTTGAACATTTGGGAGGATAGGGTACACAGCACTTTCCTCATGCAGTTATTGCTGGGGTATGGCGATGAGGGCATGTCAGCCTTCAGCAGTCTCTTGCACTTCGGTGTGAGTCACAGCCAGAATGGTGCAGAAGTTGCCAGTAGATTCCAGGTGACACTTTGCATGTGTGCTTGTGGTCAGAAGACCTGAAGACGGAGCATGCCCTCCCTGTTGATTGGTTGCCTCATCTGTCTTATGGCCAGGGTGTCTGCCAGGGAAGAGAAGAGAAGAGCCCAAGCAGGCGAAAGAAAGCCTAACGGGGTCGTCGTCCGTGTGATGGTGGCAGATAGCTTATAATGAGCCATTTCCCTCCTCCTAGAGTCTGAGGATTTTCTTCTTCATTCACCTTCACCTTCACCTTCGCGAAGTCCCCACACCTGTTCCTAACTTACGAAGTATTGTATCCTGTGAGCGAGCGGGCACTAGGACGACAAGATGTCGGATAATGTTGGTCGAGTGCGTCTTCGTTGTCTGAAGTGCCAGGGATATCTTGTGTTCAGGAAGACAGCCAAGTGGCAAAACGGGAATCGGGGCCGTCCATTTTCGAAGTGTTCTAACTGTCGTGATTTCAACTGGCGAGATGGAGAAGGGCTCTGGTCTACCAACCCGCATTGCCGAAAGTGTAAGATCCCTTTGCGTCTGCAACGGTGGAAAGGAGGCTTCCAATTGTGCTGTGATTACAGGAAGCATAAGCACTTTGAGGAGATTGATGAAGAACAGGCGCATGAGCTCATAGATGCGTTCCTACGCCGTGTGAGGACGTCCCTTGATCTTCTGGCGCTCGAAGAGAGGAGCCTTAGGGAGATTGGGGTCCCGCGGAGTGCTCTGGGGTGGCTTCTGAGGCAGCTCAGCTACTTGAAGGAGCAAAAGGAGCAGGCACTTGAGTGGAAGAGGTTCCTGGAAAGGAGATTTTGACCATGAGGAAGACGATCGCTGGAAGCCGCGGGGCAGTGTGAAGCTCGCTCGAGTCCGAGGCAAGGCCAAAGGAGCTCTAAAGTGGCGGCGGATCGTTTTCACTGGGTATTGTCGCAAGCGTTGGGAAGGAGGACTCGCCCTGTGGCATTGATTGCACAGGTGTACCTAGGCAGATTGATTATTCTTGTGATGGGACTTGGTGGTTCAACGTTTTGTTTTTGATCGCGTTCAATACTTCACTTGTTGACATAATTTGTGTTTTTGGTACAGTACATTGATTTCTCTCGTTAGCAGGATGACTTACACCGTCATTGATTATATCAGAGCTAGTAGTTATTGAATTCTTTTTTTATTTTCAAGAAGGCTTTCTATGACCCTTCCTTCCTTTCTCAGGGTAGAAAAACGTATAGTGCCCACTATGAAATCAGATACAAGGGGAATTACTACGAATAATGGAGTGTTTGTGGTCCTGTAGTCCACCTCTTAGACACATATCATGTCTCTCCAGGGTTGAGTTTCAGGATAGCTTATCGCGTCCATTTCGATGAAGTTGCTATTAGGGACCAATCTCGTGGATTTCGTAGACTTTCAGTTCGGCTGCTGAATTGGGGCCAAGCTTCTTAAGAACCTGGAAGAGTGCATTAGGTACCTAGTACGGTTGTGGATGGAAAGGACTCAGGGCTGGGATACTTCAAGTTCTTTCACCTTGACCAGCCACTGCACTACCTCTCTCACAGGCTACTAGCTACTAGCTACTAGCTACTAGCTACTAAAGGGTTATGCAAAGAGAGGCTGGTATGGACTACGAATCGGGGGTGCTGGAAGCTAGACGCAGCCTTGCCTCAGAGCTATTCGACTGCGGTTAAAGGAAAAGAAGAGAGCCAGATTGAATAAGGTATGACGACTCATCGAACATGACCTCTTTTCTGTATAACTCACACAAAGATTATATGTTCTCATCTCAATACACAGTCCCGAAAAATAAGGGCGAGAAAAGAACCCTTATGTTTAGTGTTCAGATACAGAATGACCCCCCTTCCTGGGTAGGTCACAGCCAACCGCATCGACCACCTACCAGCCCGCCAGCTCCCTCCACATCCACTTGGTCTCCTCCTCCTCTTCCTTGGAGCCGACCTCGGTCCCGGCGCCGAACTCCTGCCCCACGACGCAGACCAACCAGACGTCGTTCTTGGTGGCGTCGAGGAAGCGCTCGGTGGCCGAGTTCTTGGGGTAGATGCGGCGCCACTCGTCCCAGATGCGGTAGGCCTCGTCGCCCCAGGCGCGGAAGCTGACCTCCTCGATGATGGTGGGGGTGACGATCTCCTTTCCTCTAAACACGCCCCAGGTGACGGCGTTGACGTTGGCCGGGTTAATGTCGATGGGGTCGGGGTCCTCAGCGTTGGAGCCGGGCAGGGAGGACTCGAAGTCGCCGCGGACGTTGGTGGCGAACCAGGCCAGTTTCTCGTGGCCGTGGCGCTCGAGCAGCGGCTTGAGGATGGTGTGGTAGTCCGCGCTGGGGCAGAAGAACTCGACGAACGGTTTTTGGAACACGAACCCTTCCCCGGGCGGACCCCAGCCGAAGATCGGGTCGTCGCTGCGCACGCCGTTGATGGCCGGTTGCGAGGCCAGGGTCCACCACCCGCGCTTGTCGATCAGCTGCAGGAGTTCCGGCCGGATGATCTCCGTCTCGGCGTTGAGCGTCGTGCCGGACCCCTCCTCGGCCCCGCCTTCGCTCCACGGCACGATGTACAGCTCGCCGGACACGTGGCGCCGGAAGAGCGCGCTGATGTCGTCGCGCGTGACCGGGTACCCCCAGACTTTGTGGGCCACGGCCGGCGGGATGTGCAGGGAGGGCCCGTACCCGTCGATCTCGCCGAAGGCGGGCGAGCGCGCATCACCCCATCGTCCGTTGGGGAAGTCGTCCCACGTCGCTTCTCGTCCGAGGGCGCCGAGCCCCTCCGAGATCTGCAGCGTCGTGCTGCGGTCCGGGGGCATGGCGGGCAGTCCGGCGCTGAGCGCGGTGGCTTCGTGGCTGACAGATTCTCGCGAGGATACATCCGACGGCTGCAACTTGTCGACAATGACGCGGTTGTGGGGCATTGAGCTGACCGAGGAGCGACGGCTGGCGAGCGCGAGCGCCGGGGTCTCGAGGCGGGCGGCCGAGTATGCCGCGGAGTCTTCGATGGGTTCGTCATATTCCGTGTACGGACCGATGAGGTCGCAGCGCTCGAGCAGGAACGACACCGTCTTCTCGAGGTTGAGCGTGTAGAAGTGGAAACCACGCAGGCCTGGGCTGGGGATGCTGCGGATGCCGTCGACCAGGTCGCAGACGATGTCGACACCGGCGCGCTTGACCGCGTCGTCGTCGTGCTTGATCTCTTCCAACTTGGACAGGATGTGCGGGGGGATTTTGACATGGCTGAGCTTCGTCACGCGCGTGAGGATCTTGTAGCTGTGGAGGGGCATCAAGCCGGGGATGATGGGGATGGTCTTGAAGGCGCCGGATTCGTGGTTTCGTAGCATGTTCTCGAACTTGGTGTAGGCGTCAATGTCGTAGGTCAACTGAGTCATGATGAAGTCGGCGCCCGCCTGGGTCTTCTCGACCAGGTATGGCACGTCCCTGGCGGGGTCCTGGCTGTCCTGGAAGTTGTCTGCCGGATGCCCCTCGGGGTAGGCAGCCACACCGATACAGAAGTAGTCGCCGTGATGCTTGCGGATGTAGCGCACTAAGTCCACCGCAAAGGTAAAGTCCTTGTTGCTGTCGTCCTCGCCGTGCATGTTGTATTCCTCGCTGCGGGGCGGGTCGCCACGGAGGGCGAGGATGTTCCTGATGCCCAGGACCTTGGCTTCCTCCAGCGCCTGGTCCACCAGGGCGCGGCTCATGTTCGTGCAAGTCAAGTGTAAGCATGTGGTCAACTGCAGTTGGCGCTGACAGATCTCGGCCAGTTCCAGGGACCTTTGCGCGGTACTTCCTCCAGCGCCCCAGGTGACGGTGACGAACAAGGGACGAAGGGCCTGGGCCATACGCTCCAGACGGGCTTGAAGGTTGGCGAAACCCTAATGGCGAATCCATGAACAATCAGTATATATGGCTTGGGTTGGAGTCATCTTGCGGTGCGGGGAGAGGGAAAGAAAAGCCCCACCATCTTGGTCTTGGGAGGGAAAAACTCCAGCGAAAAGTAATTCGCATCGGGCGGCAAAGCCGCGATCTTATCGGTAATCTTCTCCATGGTGAAGCCCGGCTCTTCTGCGAGATCTAGTAGGAGACGATGGCGAGAGAAGGAGGGAGAAGTGACCGAGGAGAAGAAGACGCAAGAGAAGAAAGGCGGCGGTGGGGAAGAAGATCTGCTTCTGGCGCGGACTCTGAGGGGCCCTCCGGAAGAGGCAAAATGACGAACTGCCGATCTGGTCGGGCGACCCCATTTCATCTTTTGCCCAGTTCTGTACTTGTTCACTAAGTACAAGTACAGTACAGTCACTAATTGTACATGCAATCACTCATCCTGACTGTTTGGTGTGGCACATTCGTCAAAGCATGCGTTCTTTGTTGTAGCCGACTGCCTGCATTAACTATGCATTCACTGACGGCCTCTGGGCTTGGCTGCTGCTTGCTCCACGAGGCAAACAGGCGTGTGAGAAACTGGTGAACCATGGAATCCTTGTCGCAATAGGTGGTAAAGCACGAGAAGGCAGACAATTGGATTACTGATGATAGAACCTAGGATATCGGACAGGGTCCATTGTTCTTAGAGGAATCCAACTATAGAGATTAATCCAATCAATTGTCAATCAAACAACCATCAGTCGTGCAAACAGGGCAAACATCAACCACCACCAGCAGCAGCAGTGTATCGCAACAACGAGGTTACTCAAGACAGATGCAGTCCACCTCAGACATACATACATACATACATACATACATACATACTCACCTTCCTGCAGCCTGTCAACCTGTCAATGTGATCAACCTAATTACCCCCCAGCTTTAAGCCAACCTTACCGATCAAGATTCCCAGACGAAACTCAACGAATCCCACCTCCCCGGTATCCCCTCACCCAACCGTCCGACGGGAATGACATTGCGATAACCCCGAAAACAAAGAGAATGGCCTCTCAACGCTCAATCTCCCGTCTCACCCACTTCTCCTCCATCGCCTCCCACCTCAAGCCCTCCTCCCGCCGGTACACCTCGACCCCGCCTTCCCCTTCTCCGCCCGCCGCCCCGAAAGACCTCCGCGCTCGCCTGCAGCGATTCAACGACCGCCTCCCCTCGTTCCTGCGCACCTACACCACGCCGCTCCTAGGCGCGCCCGCAACGCACGTCACCTCGTTCCTCATCCTGCACGAGCTCACCGCCATCGTACCTTTATTCGGGCTGGCGGCCGCTTTCCACTACGGCAACTGGCTGCCCGACCTGACCGCGAGCGAGTCCTTCCAGCAGGGCACGCAGCGGTTCCAGCGGTGGCTGCGCAAGAAGGGCTGGCTGGATGCGGATACGCAGGTGGATCTGGTCTCCCTTGAGGGTGGCGGAGAATTGACTCTTTCGGAGCGAGTGGCCGGGAACAGCCGCAGTCAGACGGAAGGCGTGCGTCTCGTGCTGGAGTTTGCGACGGCGTACACGGTGACCAAGTTTCTCCTGCCGGTGCGGATTGCGGCGAGTGTTTGGGCTACGCCGTGGTTTGCGAGGGTGGTTCTAGGGCCCTTGGGGAAGGGTGTCCGGGGGCTACTGGGGAGGAAGTAGATAGCAGTGCTGTGATACTGATGCCAGGTTCTACGCGGCGGGAATTATTTTGTATAGATGGGGATTGAATAGAGCTAGATCTGGAAATGACTTGTATTCCTCATCGGGCTTTTGGGTTTTCTAGATTGTTTCATCTAAAGAGCGCCGCCTCCCACATGCTCGAGGGTCGGTAGGCTCCGAAATGGCAAAGCTGAGATGAGAAAATTTAGGCCTTCTCGTAGATCCAGTCGAACTGGCTCTGCTTCCAGCTCTGGAGCTCCTCGGGCTTGAACCAGAGGGCAATCTCCTTCTTGGCGTTCTCGACGGAGTCGGAACCGTGGCAGACGTTGCGGCCGACATCCTGGGCAAATTGTCAGTGGTGGGTTTGGGAATGAATCCAAGGGCAAAGGGCTCTTACGATGGCGTAGTCACCACGGATGGTGCCGGGGGCGGAGGCGAGGGGGTTGGTGGCACCGAGGATGGCTGGTCGACATCGTTAGTATCGCTGTAGTAGAACGATGGGGAGAGGGAAGTCTTACTGCGGCCGGTCTTGACGGCATCACGGCCCTCCCAGACCATGGCGCAGATGGGGCCGCTCAGCATGTCTGTGTGAAAGATTAGCATGTGTTTGTTGTATCGGAACAGCCATCCAAGCTACTCACAGGAGACGAGTCCCTTGAAGAAGGGCTTGTCGCTGAGGTCAGCGTAGTGCTGCTCGAGGTGCTGCTGGGAAGGAGAGCACAGCTTCATGGCAACGAGCTTGAAGCTGCAGGACAATTAGCATGGCTGGGGAGGACAATGATCAGCATTGAGGGACACCTACCCACGGTTCTCGAAGCGAGAGAGGATGGGGCCAATGAGTCCGCGCTGGACACCATCGGGCTTGATGGCAATGAAGCTGTGTCCGGTTGTTAGCTTCGAGGTCAATGCAGATGGGCGTTGGATCGAGGTCAAGCGTTGTCAATGTGGGTAGATAATCGACACATAGTTGACAGAGAGAACGAGACCAATCAACGCATGAGGAAGGGGAAGGATGAGGAGCATCAACTTACGTCTGCTCGTTGGACATTTTGAAGGATGTGGATGATGACGATTCACGGAGATTCGAATGAGAGGAGGAAAAGGGAAAGGAAGCAGAGCCGGCGTGAGTTGGGCGAAAAATATAAGGAGGGACCGCAAACGCGCTGTGTGGGGCTCGACGGAAAGGGACGCAAAAGGAGGGGCACCTGGCAATGCCTTTGAGGGCCTTGTGGCCTGGAGCGGCCAGCTGAATGGCCTGACCGCCTCACCGCCTGAGGTGTCTAACCCCAACCTCCCGATCGAGTTTAGAGGCACACTAACCCCAATCCAGGGAGCTTCCGTCACGGTCATCGCCAATCTGGCCAGGCTGGAACTATTCAAGGTTCATGTTCACATGTCACTCTTATTCAAACGTCCCAGAGCCTGCCACTGCTTGATTTGACCTTCACCTCTGGTAGATGCAGGTCCCCACCCCTAGTGACTGGTGAAGTTTATTGTTTTCAGAGATTGAGTGTCTCTGATTGCATCTTATCTGTTAAGCTCGCAACATGGCCGGCTCCCGGCCATCGTCCACCCGATGGACCCTCTTATTATCGTTGGTGATTGTCCTTGGATGTCTCATCATCCCAGGGTGTAAGTTCTCTCTCAACGCTCTTTATGGTATCGTGCTTAAGCCTAATTGCAACGTATAGTTGCCGTGAAACACGAGAGTTTCAAGACATGCTCACAATCGGGGTTCTGTAAGCGGAACCGAGCGTTCGCCGACGATGTCACCGCGAAGGGCTCAACTTGGTCCTCCCCTTACGAACTCGAACCCTCCTCTATCCAGTTCAAGGATGGACAACTGCACGGAACCGTTCTCAAATCTCTATCCGCGGATGAAAAGGTGCGGTTGCCCCTCGTGGTCTCTTTCCTGGAGTCAGGCGTCGCACGGGTCACCGTCGACGAGGAGAAGCGCTTGAAGGGCGAAATCGAGCTTCGGCACAACAGCCCGGCACGCAAGGAACGATACAATGAGGTGGAAAAATGGGCATTGGTTGGTGGCTTGGACTTGAGCAAGACCGCGACCTTGGAGCCAGAAACCGAAGCTGGAGTTACCCGGGTCTTGTACGGTCCAGACAACAAGTTCGAAGCGATCATTCACCACAACCCCTTCAAGGCGGAGTTCAAGCGGGACGGACAAACTCACGTCCAGCTGAACCACCAGGGATACTTGAACTTGGAGCATTGGCGGCCTAAGGTCGAGGCTCCGGAGGGCAGCGAACAGGAGGCTTCGGAAGACGAGAGCACCTGGTGGGAAGAGAGCTTCGGAGGTAACACGGACTCGAAGCCCAAGGGCCCCGAAAGTGTCGGATTAGATATCACCTTCCCCGGCTACAGCCATGTTTTCGGCATTCCCGAGCACGCCGACTCCATGTCTTTGAAGCAGACTCGGTAAGCGGACCTGCTACCTATATCATGAAGACGCTAACCGAATCTTAGCGGTGGTGATGGCAACCACAATGAACCTTACCGCATGTACAACTCGGATGTGTTTGAGTATGAGCTCAACAGCCCGATGACCCTTTATGGCTCCATTCCGTTCATGCAGGCTCATCGTAAGGACTCTACCGTCGGCGTCTTTTGGCTCAACGCCGCAGAGACCTGGGTGGATATTGTCAAGGCCACGTCGTCTCCAAACCCTCTCTCCCTTGGTGTGGGCACTAAGACAGACACCCAGAGTCATTGGTTCTCGGAGTCTGGTCAGATCGACGTTTTCGTTTTCCTGGGACCGACACCGCAAGACATCAGCAAGACTTATGGTGAACTCACTGGTTTCACTCAGTTGCCTCAACATTTTGCCATCGCGTACCACCAGTGTCGCTGGAATTACATCACCGATGAGGATGTCAAAGAGGTTGATCGCAACTTTGACAAGTACCAGATCCCCTACGACATCATCTGGCTGGACCTCGAGTACACTGATGACCGGAAGTACTTCACCTGGGATCCGCTCACCTTCCCTGATCCTATCAGCATGGAGAAGCAGCTCGATGAGTCTGAGCGTAAGCTCGTGGTCTTGATCGATCCTCATATCAAGAACAAGGATGGATACGCCATCTCGGAAGAACTGAAGAGCAAGAACTTGGCCACTAGGAACAAGGACGGGGAGATCTACGATGGCTGGTGTTGGCCTGGCTCATCGAACTGGATTGATACCTTCAATCCGGCAGCCATCAAGTGGTGGATGAGCTTGTTCAAGTATGACAAGTTCAAGGGTACCCTGTCAAATGTCTTCATCTGGAATGACATGAACGAGCCATCCGTTTTCAACGGACCCGAAACCACCATGCCCAAGGACAACCTGCACCATGACAATTGGGAGCATCGCGATATCCACAACGTGCATGGTGTCACTTTGGTCAATGCCACCTACAATGCCCTGTTGGAGCGCAAGAAGGGCGAAGTCCGCCGGCCCTTCATCTTGACCCGCTCTTACTATGCCGGTGCTCAACGGATGTCAGCCATGTGGACGGGCGACAACCAGGCGACCTGGGATCACCTTGCTGCCT